ACGATACCATCAGCGGAATGGCCGCTATAATCAACTGCTCATTTCTCCATAGTAGAAATGTGAAGAAACTATGAGGGGTAGAGAATCACTGGTGATTCTCTTACTTACTGCTAAGTTGACTCAGCAGTGGTCATGTTAGTAAATGATGCAGGCCAAATGGTAGACTAGTGAGCGAAGCACTGCTGAGTGAAGCACGGTCGGTCGCGGTGCAGCCTGAGACAACCGAAAGACTTAGACGCGCAAGCACACACTATAGCTCAGAGCTGGGATAGACAAGGACAGGCAGGCAGGCAGGTAACGCAGAGCCATAAATAAATAGGCAGTAGCGGTGGGTTAGCGTTGGTGGCCACAGTCATCGCCGCCAATCCACAGAGTTGCTATTCGCTGCCTAAAGATCTTATTCCACGCCTGCTTGATATTACTTCAGACGGCTGGTTCGTTCCAGCCCGAAAGGAATTGTGTCGATCCCCGGATTCGAACCTATTCGAGGAGTTTCTGACTTAACTAGGCAGATATGTTCCCAGCTTCACTATCGCGGAGACACGATCTACCAACTATATAGCCTGAGCTTGTCGTCGACAAAATAAACAAAAGACAGACTTATTTGTTTTCGATATATATATATCTATCCGTCTGTCCTTTATCTATTTTGTCGACGACAAGCTCGGACTACATATAATAAAGCTGGGAACATGTTTGCCTGCTTAACTTACATATATCAGGGTAAATACTTAGCTTTCTGATTATTTTTAATTAATTAAAGTGGACGCTAGGTAAAAACGTTTTTTTATGCGACCGTTCGTACCTCATCCGCTTCTACTACTTTTTCTGGCCTTTCGAAAGAAAAGTGTAACAGCGTTCTATCGTCAATAATTCTAATGAATACAAAGCAACCAGTTACGCAACTGGCAACATGCTTATCGTGGTTCATCATAGGTAATAATAGAGAAATTAAAATATCATATGGACTAAAGTTCTCTCTCTTACTTAGCTTCTACACTTTTTATGTATATATATATATATATATACATATATATATTGTTATTTTCATCTGATGATAATAATAATAGGGGTCGTTAATAGCCTTGTTTTAGCCGACACCAATTAATTTCACCGTCTCTTGCTTCCTTCTCAAAGCGTATGTGTGTTCTACTATTAGTCGCGTACTAGATTTCCAGAATCTTAACTGTCACTAGTAATGTCAGCAATAGCAGCAGCAGCGATGCAAATACTAACAATAGTCACATCAGGAATACCATTTTAGCGCATTTTGTCCTTTTGAGTATTCTCCTTCTCCGGCTTCAATTTCCCTCACCACCATCCATCGCGCCGGTATTTTTGCTCTCACTACAACTACCACTAGCGTTGCTAATGCAGCAGGCAATAGGTTCATGCGGTCCTGGTGACGTAAACCACACATTTATCCATCTATATCTGGATATCTAACTAGGAATGTATATCGCGCGTCAGCTAAGCAACCGTTGTTGTCGCTGGCAACAATGTTACAGTGCCCATCTGGGCATATCCCAGTAACTCTTGTCTCCTTTGTTCTGCCTGCTTTGTATCAAAGACTAGCGGCAGTAGCGGCCGCTCGTCTCTCTGTCTGCCTGCCCATTCCGTTGTCTGTCCGTCGATGTGTCGTTCGTCTGTATGATGTGAGTGAGCTCGTGACGTCACGGTCTTTTTTTGCCGTGCGCGACCTGCGGCGGCGCGACATCTATTTTGCTCGAACTGCAGCAGAAGTACCGTAGTGTAATAGTGGTACTGGTGCTGTTAATTGTGAGGATGATTTGCTTAGAACGAGAGCAGACGACAATGGCGCACTTCGTTACCCTGCCAGGGACATTATCATTCCAGCCTACTGGCGGCGTACAGCTAGCAGCATGAAGGCAAACCATGCATAACATTTGTACAAACACACACACGCGAGCGCGCGCGCGCGCGCGCGCGCACACGCACGCACGCACGCATGCACTCACACCTACACACACAGACAAGAGCGTCCTCACGAATAGACAAACAGTACGGAGTAGAATGAGAGGAAGAAAATTGCGCGCGCGCGTCGAACATGCTAGTGGTGTCGGTGGCGGCGCCGCCGCCGTGGGCCAGTACTTAACGGATCAATTTTCATCGTTCGAATTGCCCTGTTATGATTATAACTGCACATAACTACTCCTAGCAGTATTACTGTAAACGATTGCAGGCGAGTGAAGAGAAGGGCGAGTAGACACTGGTCGTGTTTCCGTTTTTACCAATGCCAATTTAAGCAAAGCCGACGCTTAAATTTTCAGCGGGAATCGTATTTATTGTCGAACAACAAGGCGAACGCCAGCCCATCCGCCGAGGCATCTAGGCGACATTGCATAAACCGGCCGGTTATTGACTGGTGGCCGGTTGGATCTGCTGATTTTGTCATATTCGGCAGCTGGAATACCTTGTCTTGCGCTTAAGCAAAAGCCGCGACGCTGACGCCAGCAACGGCAACTACACAACGCTCTCAAGGAAAGAACGAGATGGAGACTAGTTGTGTTCTATCGTGTACCATGATTTTGTTGTTGCTGATGTTGTCACTGCTGTGACATCTTCGAGATGACGGTAAGCGGCGGCGTTGAATCAGTGATTATAGTCCTCGTTGAAAGGAGATCAAAAGACTGGGAGAACAAATGTCGGTCCACATTTCCAATAATCGCTTCGGCCGCTTCAAGGAAAGCATGTGAAGGAAGTTGTATGACTCTAGAATGACGCCGTAGATGACCGCGTTCTGTCTGTCAGTTGTTCCAGCGGGCAGTTAACGTTAGCAGTGCCGATGATGGATGAAATCATGATCTTACAGATGCAATTGCTGTTAGTGCACGGCCAGACAACGTACCATGACTCACACTATGCTACTGTGTGATGAGATCCTATTGCTTCTCTCTCTCTCTGCCATCTAGTGTATAGAAGTGTATATGTGTGTGTGTGTGTTGGTCTCTGCGAGTTTGTAAAGTGCAGAGCGAGAGGTACGAGGGAGAGGAAGAAGGGGGTTGCAGCAGCGGCTTCCAGACAATAGTTTTAACCTCACAGCCTATACAAGTCTGTTGAAGCAATAAGAACAACAATTTATTGCGATTAATGCTATTCCATAGAACTTACATATATGTAACTTGTATTCAAGTTAGTAGTATTATGATAAAACTGCAGGAAGTATTAGGAAGTGATTTGTCGATGTTACACGTGCTTAGATATATAGTAGAACACGCTATTATAACTTATTCTATGAGCTAAGAAGCTGAGATGAAGAACGTAAACATTTCTTAAAAAAATACAAAGACACGCGGCGAGCATTGCCTTCGGTTTCCTTCCTACATAAGTATAGGGTAGCAGAGAGCTATACGCACGCAAATATTCTGGACGGAATTTTTGAATACAGTCGGCGCCACAAAAAAATATACCCGTATAGACGTCGAAGATTGATATCCAGGCCCATATAGCTAAAATGGGGCTATATGGGCCAGAGGCTACACTATGCGGATAATAATATTTTTGTGCGAAATCATTCAAAAAATGTAAGACAGAAAGCCATAATGACAACTTTTCTTCTTCTAAAAAAGACGGTGCTCAGCGAAGGCAAATCATTTGCTGCCAGATGAAAAATTATGGTTTGTTTGCTTTAGCTTCACACGAAATTTATCTGCGTAATGTAAAGACAGGTCTTGAACGACCCAGGTGGTGGCACATCCACGAATTGCATTTTGTTTTGGAAACAATACAGTGAGGAGTTATAGAAACGAGGTGTGCACTGTTTTTCAAAGCCAGCAGGCCCAACTGAAGCCTAATTATCGTGATGATAATTATCGTGATTGTGCATTATCCTCGTAAAAATAATTATTTACATTAGAACTTCATCCATAATCAAGACCAGTCGCGATATCTTTTGCCGTACGGTGCGTTGTGAAACAGCCCCATGCGATATGTACTGTTGACCATAAAGAGTGTCGTACAACAAATGAAAAAATACATATTTCATGTTTACACATCCCGATTATACTAAGCTAGGTTGTACTGCAACTTTTCGATAAAATTAGCATCGACGGCAATCAGTTCCATATAAGGTTAGATATATGTTATGTAACTCAATATATCAGTGGTCTCACAACGTGATTTCAGCTTGCCTTTAAATGAAGCTTTGAAAACATAGGGGAACTTGGGAGCTGGTACAAAAACAAGCAATTCACTTATTGATCATTTAACAAAACTTCTACGAGACGCAAAAAATACTCAGCTGAATTGAATGAAAGAAGAAAATGCTGGCCCAAGTTTACCCTATTTGGTTATAATGATGGTTACGCGAATTAATATTTTAACGTAAGTCAAATGAAAGGAGAAAAGAAATGGTGTGATCGTATAGATTGGCCTAAGTTAAGGTAAGATAGTTCCTCCTATGGAAGATGACAATGTAGTTACAAGTGGTCTAGTGATAACACTGTCTTTTAGACGTATGTGATAATAATGATCGTTATAAAATAAATTAACAAACTCTTATTATTCTTGCGGGCCAAATGATATTTACTCGTCTGCATAAAATCATAACAGTTATTTGATCTCCCTCTTATTCCGGTTAAATCCTAAGCTAGTTTTTATTGCTTTTTCCCATGAGTCAATCACCAATTCTAGGTAATTATTTTTCAGCCACTGTCATCAACGGAATGATACCCTAAGTGTTTTAGGCTACTGAATTTCAGTTTTTACACAAATATCAGTGGATTGACATTTTGTTTCAAATATTCATTGCTTTGCATCCCACAGCATCTAATTCTACTTCAGGTTTTGTATATATTTTACAAAATATTATATCCTTTTGAAATAAGCAGATTATCTTACTGCGAGTGCTGGTCCTAACCGGCTGTATACAATATCCAATAATGATGGTGGCTGTTAGCCACATTGCTTACTTGTATACCTTCCTTTTTCTTTTGTCTGTCTTTTATTGTTCCATAAAATTGATGATGGACTTCCTGCAGCAGGCCCAGGATTCCCTTCGGCGTGTTCCAGTGCGGCGCAAGTTGCAGGACCGGTAGGTGCTACCCTGTCCCCATTGACACGTAGTATTGCGTCGCCGGAGGGGCCTCTCAGCGCGCTAGCACAGCAAGGTCTGGCCTCTGCACAGGCGCCTTCAGCCGGCAATCCACACGAAGAAAGGAACGGTTGGTTAATGTTCACAGAAAATGATCACGATTAGTTAAGCTATTATATAGATGTGAATGCATTTTCAACGTCGCTTATTAAATTGAGCTCTATGAACTTGCCCTTGTGTTCCAAACGACACAGACTACTAATTATCATATCACTTTACTTATTTATTTTTTTTTTGAAAGTCTATACTTAATAACAGTATGACTGGGTAGTTGAGGGTGCAGTCGCCCGATATAATAATGTTGGCACAATGGTTGTGTATTATATATTGCACGGCAATCGCTTTGGGATATTCGACAGTAATCGAAAGGACCTTTTCTATAGAATATCTTAGTACTGAGTTCGTTTTGTTGGTACTTGACACCCGTGTCGGATTAGAGCGTATCCATGGAGTGGTCAAAAAGCTAAGCCCACATCAATGGAAACATTTGATCAGCCGAAGAATGTAATTATGTGCATTTTTTCAATGCGTTTCCAATGCGGGTTCCATTAATTAATATATTGTGTATCTGATTACTAGAATATATGTATCAAAGCATTCGAAGTTTTTGTTCCTGTTGATGTAAGCCGAACCAATAAACGTGGCTTCAGTTCTAATTCGTAGGTATGTCCCTCTAATTATTTAATCTCTTACTACTACATATGTAATAATTGTTGTTTTTTTATCTAAGAGCGTTATTCGAGACCATACGTTATATATATACACTTGCAGTTTAACGATTATTATATTCTCCTCATTCGTGTTATAGTATTCATTGTTGTTGTTTTCTGCGACTGCCTTTCGATGGAAAAAGTACCCCAGAAAGACATGGATGGTATAAACATAAAAGTGTGTGTACCAGCAGTCATCCAGCCGACCAGTCCGAACGCCTGCCCACATGTCTGCTTGGAGACTCGTGCTGTTCGTGGGCCTTCGCTGTGTGAGTCATCTTTTTGGCCGCATGTCGGTTCGTTGGCTGGCCGGCCGGCCGGCCGGAAAGCTGACGTCCTTCTTTTGACGACTCGGCGGCTTGTAGTGCCACACTCATGGCGATGCCGGTGCCAGTGGTACGACCTGTGCTAAATCCGCTAACGATCGACCAGCTGGACTTAGATAATGTGTGCTTTTGTGTGTCTGGCAGTCTGCGCTCACAATATTTGCAATACGCCATACTCAGCTCAGATCCAGTGCGCGAACATCGCGCCGCGCATGTCTTTCAGCGTCGTTAACGCCGATTTCTGTGGCAGTTCCTACTAAACGACACTAATAATATTATAGGTTATACAGCCATAGCTAGCAATCCTACCATATTTCGCTAACTGGCCAACTTGCACTCGACAGGGCGGGTCAAAGCATCGAAGTAGTGTCTAGCCCCGAAGCGCTGTAACAATGGCGGTCATACACAGACAGTTTTATGTGTGCATACGTTCAGGATACGTGAGTTTATGGTAGCACTATACACGTAGACATAGTGGTAGCTCTGTTGTTGAAATGGGTAGAAAAAATAATAATGCGAGAAATTGAATTGAGATTCTTTTCCGGCTCTGAAGCGCTTTTAACTATAAGAAAAATATATAATTAGAAGTTCAGCAAAGGTCCGCGGCTTAGCCTGGGCTACACTGACAGAGATACAGATAAGTCGTAACGGGCGTCCAAACCGATCCTTTTTTAATTCTATGGGAATATAATCGATGTACGTCCTTGCATAGCTTCCTTGCATAGTAGAAAAATATTTTAGGCCAGTATGATGGGACCTTTTGTTGCCAGGAGTTTGAAGGTTATTAAGTGAATCCATGTTGATGACATCGGTAGGAGCAATGGAACTTAAATATCTGCGGCACCATTTTCTTGGACATTGCACGGATAGCTAAGGGTAAAACTATGAGCAAAAACTATTCGTAGGAAATCGCGTATCCACAAATATACATATGTGATGGGACAAGTCTAGTTGTGTAGTGGTTTGCCACAGATAAAGTGAAATTGAGATTTAGCTATTTATAAATGCGATATATTACCAAACTTGTTTATTATTCCAAGACACATTTGAATTAAGCTAGTTGCCATAAACCCAACCATGTTTACCTTGCCTATAAAATTATCTATTTAATAACATTGTTTTTGGCCTTGATTCGCATTTTCTCCGTAACTCTGCTCTTTGTAATTTATTTTTCCTGTTTTTCTTTTTTTTTTCGTCAGGTCTTCATCATGGAAGTTCGGTATCGGCTGAACCACCTCCATCGACACGACGGCATTCACCTCCCGTCGCGCCGAAAAAGTCCCGCCACTCGCTGTCGGCGCAGCCCTCACAGGAGGGTCCGCCACCATCCCCAGCGTCGGCCGCATCGGCGACGCCCGGTCAGCCATCAGCGGGACCTGGAGCAGCGGCCTCTGGTCCTGGGGGACCCGCCTCAAACGCCGCGTCGTCCGGTGGCAGCGGGGTCAAAGGCGCGGCGGCCGGGGGTGGCGCCGAGTCCGCTCCCACTTTGAAGTGCACGCTGTGCCAGCAGCGGCTGGAGGACACCCACTTTGTACAGTGTCCATCGGTTGGGGCGCACAAATTCTGCTTCCCCTGCTCCCGTGACAGCATACAGCAGCAAGCGGCCAATGCCGGCGGGGAGGTAAGGGTCGCAGGAACAACAAAAATAAGAAAACCCATCACATTGTTTGTATTAAATGTTTCATCATTCGTCCGTTTGTTATTACTACTTATGCCTGCTTGATCCTCATAATCCTTTTTTGCATTAATGGACCACCGAAGGTTTTGCTGTACATCATCCAGTGTGTGACGGTAGAACTTCCGCATTTGATACATATGCCCCAATGTCGGCATGCAAAGGGGTTTGCCCTAGCTCGAATGAGTCATGTATTGCGACGCGCGAACAGCCGTGGCAAGCCGTTGAATACTAAAGTAATATGCAGAAGTTTACCTTCGGCACCGAACTGTGAATGCGATTTGTTGTATATACATATATATACAAAAAATAGATGACCATTTGAATGAATAGTCTGGCAGGGATTCTTCAATAAGGTAATTTTATCAGTTCTGCATTGGATCTTTAAAAAAACATTAAATTAAGTGGTGGTTCTTTATCTAAGATAAGGTAATATTCTAGAGGGATTTGGCTGAGGGAAAGTTGTTCTGTAGTATAAACATAGCAGATTCTTAGGCAGACTTTCTTAATAGACGCCTTGTTTGAGCTGTAGCTAAATACAATACAACTAACTAGAATTTAGCAACATGCAGTTTAGTGGCGTATGTTCTTTAGAGGTTGCTGATTCTTTTGCGAGGGCTGTAATAATTGTTCTTTCCTGGATTATTTCGATACATTGGCTCCTACGGGAATTATAAATAGAGACATGATTCTCGGTATCGTTGTTACTTGCTGCTGTTATGAAGGTATGCAAATACTCTACCCAAGATTATATTTTCACGCTCCTTTTTTTGAAGTGTCGTAAATAATGGTTCGAGTACAATTCGTCCATTATAGCCTCGATTTCTACGTGTAAGGCCATAAATGTGTCATATCTTTGCGAGAGTCGTTTACTAGATTACGTTCCAACCAGCCCGTTATTAAAGGCCTAGTGCAAGGTCATTGCAGGTTGCAGTGATACCTGACGTTGATATGTACCCACCACCACACTTAATTTCATGGCGTAAACGCTTTAGGCGATCGACAGCTTTTAGCCGATGGAATATAACGCGTTTTTATGTACGGACGAGTTGAACTTATCACGTTAGAACTTCAACGGCGTTCAGAGTTGACTGAGAAGGGTCTGTGGTGAACTGCTAGTCAACAACGTTAAATTTTTTAATATATATATATATATATATATATATATATATATTATGCATTTGTAGTATTTAAAATCTCGCTTAAACTATGAACGCCAAACCGTTGTCATTCGCCAACACAAAATTGTCGAATATATATATATATATATATATATATATATATGTTATCGTTAGACAAAAAAAGGCACATTAACTCAGTTTATTCCGTTTGCTTGTTGATACTTCTTCTCTCGCGCCACAACGCTGATGGTATTTTTATACGCATTCCCTAACTTAAACTTGTAACAACGTACCAGTTGCACACGAAATCCCACGCGGTGCAGATGCTACTCGTATATTAATAATTAAATTCTAATTTGGGCCCAGCGCTCAGCACGTTGCCTGCCTATCGTTGACACTGGTATCTCCAAAGTGGCAATAACACATATATGAATAATGAGAATCCCGTCAACGTGAACGAAACGTGAAGCACGATAGCGATGGGAGATCGCCATAAATTTTCGACGAAGTTCCAGTTTGGCAAAGCGAAGTTTTGCATGCTCGGCTAAGGTAAGAATATTGGTACACGGTACACGAGCACTCTCCTGCCAATAGTGTGATCGGTTCTGTGATGGTAGCGGTGACGGCATCACCACTTTTTGCGAGATTCGTGGCCTGGTGAGGGCAGAGATAGCGAGATGTTGTTATTATCATTCAATGGGTCGTGCACGCACACCCTACGGTGCGTCAGAAGGATTGAGGTAGGACGATTACAAAAAAGAAAAGAGAGAGAGGTGCGTTTGTGTGTGCGAGGTAAAGAGAGGCGGAAGCAAACGAGAGACCCAATAAGCCTCCCAGTTTTCGTTTTTGCCAACATCTATCTCGAAGTGGCCACGCACTATCACATGATGAGACGTGACCAAAAACGACGTGCTCGACTGTTCTTTCCAACTCTTACATCAACTATGGTGCCACAAAACGTCCGTGGCCTCTGTGCTCCAGCCAATAAAATATAGCAGCTATGGCAGTGGCTACAGCCGTAGGCCAGCATCGTGCCGCTACTAGTACCATTGTTAAGACTAGTACGGCCTTGCCGGTTACGATGAATTGTCTACTTTGTTGTCTACAGCCCTTCATATTCACTCACTCACTAAATCGACCGCATCGTAAGCGTACGAAGACACGCCTCAGGGTCATGTCCTTTCTTTTAACACGTCAATCTCACTCTGATGATGAATGTTGACTACAGATAGCTAATCAACTTTTAGTTATTGAAAGCCTTTGACGATATGTTACTGTACAATCAATATACAAACGTTGTCATATAAAGCTCTAATTTTATACTTTACTTACGTTTTATTGCAGGTCTATTGTCCTAGCGGTGAAAAATGCCCACTTCTTGGTTCCACAGTACCGTGGGCTTTTATGCAGAATGAAATAGCGACAATCCTCGGTAACGAGGAGCTCGCGCCCGCTAAAAAGACGCCTACGCCCCCATCATCGGCATCGGCAACCCTCTCTGCACCGCCGTCGGCGGCGGGTAACACTCCTGGAGGCGCCCACCAGCGACCGCAGGCTCCCACGCCGCCGAGCAGCCAGCCGGGAGGTGCTCCGGGACCTCAAACGGGTCCGACCTTGCCTACAAGCAATGGCAGCAGCGCCAGCCGTGACGGCAGCACGTAAAATCCGCGAAACACCGAACGCGAAATAAATATATATATAATTGACCAACGGTATCTGTTGTCGACGTCATCGTCCCGGTTGTCCCACTGAGGAACGATTGGATGACTAACAGTCGCAATTCTCCAAGGGAAATTGCCACGTCTACTCGATAGAAGTGACGCTCAAATGCGAGGAAAGCGTTTTGTCCCTTTAATTCATCTCTCGTATCTATATTTTGAAGATTGATGGGTGGATAAGCGGTGGTCGCCCACCTAAGATTGAATGAGATATATAGTTGTTTATGGCATGTTGGTAGGCACTGCCTTGTTCCCTAACTTCAGTGTCACTACTTCAGTCTCTGTCAACGTAGTTCTGCATCTGCTTCAGTTCAAGATATACGAAGCGAGCATGAAGCAGGCCGTGAAGTTTTGGCACCATTATACTGCCCCCACTCGCCCTGGCTAGAACATACATGTACGTGTTGTGGATGAGAAAGCGTAACTCGTCGCGCTTAACATGTCCGGTCACTTTTCTGGTTGGCGGCCAATTGAGTGACTGAGACCGACAAAAAAAAACAGGCTCGTCGGTCTGTTGCCCTTGCTTGCGTAACAATACTATCATCATAAACTATACACAGCTCTTGCTACAGCTAAAATATCATAGTATATGTACCACTGGTGTGAGTCACATAAACAGAATGTTCATTCATTGATTCATTGAAAGATTAGTGAATGGATGCATAGCTTCAACGCATGTAGAAGAGCTGCACGTGTCCTAACATTTACGGGGGTGTTTGCAGCATGAAGCTAACATGAGACGACTTGGCGACAATGACTGGTTCTCGTTGCTTCCCTCTACCTTTCTCTTACCGACGATAATAACCGATCTTTCTCGTTTGTACTTTGTTTGACAATAAATAGAAAGTAGAAAGAGGGGCAAAGAACGAGCAAACGTAAACGAGCAAAAATCAAATGCGATTGCACGCGATTTCAAAAGTTGCCGCCAGATCAATACAACAAAATTATGTTGATGAAGCAGTATTGGGAAAATCGGATGGTGTCCCGATCAGTTGTCGAGAAACCCTTGACTCTCGACTAGCTGAAGGACTCTGGAAACCCATTTATTTACATACGTTCATAGAGCCTACTTTTAGACGGCCGGAAGACCACACGCGTTTTCCAACCTTTGCGAAGGACACAAATACAATAAGGGCGGCGGAATAATAGGTAATAATCATTATTATTATTATTATTATTATACGAATGATAACAGAATATGATATTGATGCAGGCGTGAAGAATACAATCTTAAGCGAGCAGTCACAAGGGATACTGAGTGCAGAGAATGATGAATTTACAACAACAACAACAACAACAACAAACAAAAATCCATAACAGCTAACACAAATAACAGCGTATAATAATATTTGATTATATGACAATAATAACACCCGACTTTATATAACAGTGACTAACGTCATGTATTACAGTGACAATGATGATGTTCAGCCGGAGGTGTCGTTGCTGCTGTGAAAAGTGGGCGAGGTGGGTGGGTACAATGGGGTGGGTTTGTAGCGAAAGCTGAGGAGGAAGCGGACAACCTCGGTTGAATTCACGCATACTTGATAAGCCACACGTAAAAATGTCGCACATAAAGCGATGCACCCCGTGAATATTTGTACAGAAAGTTCGAAAGACAAACAATCCACTAGTAACAGTAATAGAAATCTATTAGGTTATCGAAAATTCCATGCTCCATCTTGAACCGTGCTGTATCTTAACTCCTCTCGTTAACTTTTTTCCCATTTCCTTCCTGAACTCCAATGAAGCTAGGCAAAGAAATCGAGGATTCGCTAAACAACAACAGTAGACTAATAACTAAAAACACGAGTGATGATGTTATATATATATATACATACACATTCACGTTCATAGTTATGCTCAGAAAGAAATAGCAAGAGAAGGAATAAAACAGATTTGACGAAATGCTAATGAAAATGAGGTAAAGTGAGAGGCTTAAATTCCCTTACTATTTAATATTGATAATAATAATAAATCTAATAATGATAATGTCTACTAGCTAACAACTATCTTATATATATATATATATATATATATATATATATATATATATATAGGCAATAGATACCCGAAAGCGAGTGGTGAGAATGTCTAACCGGGAGAAAAACAAAGAGAATATTAATTAGTTAATAAGAACGAGTTGTAGAAAACGTCGAGCTAGTTACGCTCATCAGCATTCGACAGAATTACAGAGAAAGTAATTGGAAGCATTGCAGGGATGGTGAGAGTGCGCCAGCAGGATAGAATGGTCATTGATAACGGAGGAGAAAGGAGAAAAGGACCCCACAAGGAGAAAAGGACCCAACTTACAACAGTAAAAAAAAATACAGCATCAACAACACTGAATCTACTGAAAAAGATAAATGAAAATATGTTAGTTATTGTTGTATTCTACAAACTCACACAGCTGTGGGCAACCAACGACGACACCACGATCCCCTCCATTTTTTCAAGTAGGCAGCGTAATAACAAAAAAAGAAAAAAAAAGCTGCCAGTGTAAGTTACTTCTGACACTTACCGATTCATGCATCGACAACAAAGACGATAAACATTTCTGCGCTACGAAAATAAATAGAATCATAGCGGGATGTTGGTCATCGCTCCTGGTTGCGAGCAGCCAAAAAATGAAAGTTCGGTATCAGCTTTCTTTTTGCCCTCCAGCATCAGTCAACATCTAAAAAAGCTCATCAACGGCAGAAATATTAGCAGAGCAGTTACCGCGATCACGTCATGATCGAAGTCGTGAAATGAAAAACAGGACGCACGAATGCATGACATCGCTCGACGCGATGCCACTACTGCAAAAACAGTTTTTTTGATGATGATGATGATGGCGACGAGGAAGCCGGAGAAATAGGCAACGTAACAGTTATGTAGATATAATATTTGACTGTTAGATTTAGTTAATATATTATTGCATCAACACACATGTAAACACGACATGTAAACACACGTAAACACATACGCATAAACGCTGACTCACATTCACAAAGACGCAATGAAAGTAAAGCTGAACATTCATTAATAGAAGAGAGCCATTTTCGAAATTAGACTGAACTGAAAGGATTCTATTCGGCAAAATTCGATTTCTATGCACTGTAAACAATGTGAAGAAATTCTGCTTGAATGCTTTTGGTCTGAAGCCGGCGGTTCCTGCAACTGTAAGGCAAATTCGACATTTGTGTAATGGCTAATGTTTTATCAAATTATAGGAAAATGTGAGCAACAGTCATTAATATGAAGGCACAACACGCAAACACTTAAACCGTGTGTATTCGCACGCATCAATACCCTGGTTACATCTAAACTGCATCGTCACACCGAAAGTGTAAACATGAATGTACTCGACTTTAGTAATGAGCGGGCGTAATAATATCGAAAAGTTAAATGAACGCCTTATGCAATCTATCGATCGATCGATCGATCGATCTATATAGAGCAACGAATCGTTGTATAACAACAACCATGATAAACTACTGTTTCATGACCTTGATGACAACTTATATTGACGTGATGCTGATGACTAGAAGGAGAATTATGCCAACACCTACATTAATAACAGGAACGTAATAACATGAATAATACGATAGCGGTAATGCTGGTCATGATGATGAGGTTAAATTTTGCTCCACCCCGTCCATCTAGAGGAGGAAAGAAGGACAGAGAAAGGGGCTTCCGCGCTCCTTGGCCCCCTCTTCTAGAGATGACAGATCTCTACGGGACGCTATGAAGTGTATCGGGTGCAATGAATGCGACGCGGTACATGCGGTAGAATTAGTTTATATTGTATAATGCGGTATATTAAAGAGTTGCAGTGATGACGCTGTTCTTATAATGCTGATGGCGACAATTGTACGAACAAGATAAACATGGCGCTAGATAAGTCGAGAGAGTATTTGCTGCACCCGCTTGTCGTTACCGTGGATGAGGTCACCATTTCGGGACGCACTGCCCTCTGCGGTCGAATAGAAACGCCTCGAAAGTGAAAAAAAACGAAAGAAAAAGATAATTAATTATATTCGATTCTACTCAGTATAATATTATGGTAATGATACTATATACGGCAAATATTTCAATCCAAACAAATGCACACAGGCTAGATGTATTTTGCTTGATCTGTCGAAACGATTCGATCGTACATAGAAAAGAAAACCAACATTAAGCATAAGACGCTAGTTTTGTTCATCATTATTATATAATTATATATAAATATATGATACATCTACATGGTCCACTACTCGTACGCGCAGGGGAATTGAAGACACGTTGAGATAGATAAACTTCTATAAACACACACACGCGAACACACACACACACCCACCCACCCACCCACCCACACACGCACACGCGCACGCACACACACACACACACACACACACACACACACACACACACACACACACACACACACACACACACACACACACACAGACACATGCACATACTCACATACACATACACATACACGCCCTAGATGTCGAGTATTTATAAATGTACAGTTATTACAATGACAACTATTCCTATTGCAATGGCGGGCGTGTGTGAAATAAGATGAAAATAACAGGAAAATAAATTAATAAACAGTAAAGTTTACATTAAGGTGGCGATGTTATAAGATAGAAGAAAAGACCAACTGTCTTAATTAATTTGAGTATAGATATGTACATATAATAAATAGCCAAGAAATATTAATTTATATGATGACGAAGTGCAGATTCTAATGATGTGCAGCGACAACTTCTTCGACGTTGAAATTGACATGAAAATGATTTTATTTTCTGCTGCCGAGGATAATGAGTAGCAAAAAAGCATGGATTCAAGTACCTAGGCGAGATAATAGAGACGTGGTGAATAATACATGAGGGCAATAAGGCACGCATCCGCACCCTTTTTAGATAGCAGGGCAGTTTCGTATAGTTCAGACATACTGATAATAAAATCATCATTAGTGTATCCTTCTAGCATGGTCATTAAATAAAACAAAGCATACCTTATTACAGTTGTGGATTGCAAAGAGAAAAAAAAAAAACGTTTGCATTCGAGAGTGAGACTACCGTATACTTTAAAGAAGCAACATTTTCAGTTTGTTCATGGTAGGATGAGTTTCTAATTCGGTTGTGAACTTATTCTTTTTTTTACAACTCAAGACAATTTGGTCTATTTTTGTCCCACTATAAACCTATTTCCCCTCTCGTTACAGAATTAAATAACGCATTCATTCCGTTTAAATGTTATGCTTAAAGATGTGAGGATCTTTCGAGGCTAAAGGGTGTCTACACAGTCTGCGCAGGAAAGACATATTGCATGCTCGTCAGCTTACTGAAAATATGGGTTAACAACGTATGCTCGCCAATGAATACATCAAATACTGGCCATCAGGACATTGTATTTATAACATTAAGAGACGATTCGCTATTTCGGTGAACTGAATAAGTAGTTTTTTAATACTTCGAGACTGTTGAACACGTACACCGCGTTAAAAGGGTTGGTTCTCATCTCAAAGGCGTGTACTTATTGACATTAATTCAGTTTTCTATAAAAATTATTATACACTTAGTAGTTAAGTTAAGTGTCGGTCTCTTTCTCTCTCGTTCTCTCTCTTCACTACTTGTTCCTATATTAAACATTCTATATAAGTAAATACGCATTTTATTTAACACACGAATTACATTTTTCATTGATTTTATTGATAATCCTGCCAGCTTGGTCAACAAGAACGGATTAGCTTAGCATCGTACTTCATAACGAAAATTGACCACTCGATGTATTATTATTCGTGAAGGTATCGATAGAAAAGATTTTCCACATACGAACATTATAACACCTGAAATGAAATATGGTGCATACGACAAGTGATTCTATGTTCTTCTGATACGTTATATCGATCTTACAACGATCGTGCTTCTTGTGCCGAAAAGCAAACAGAAGGTCCGTGAGAAGGAAATGATTCTTTATGACAAAAAGTTTTCTTAAAGTTTGTCAACCATTTCAGGGTTCAAGGGGCCGTAAAGTAACTTAAGGGAAAAGTACCGTCACTTTCGCTGTCAGCATAGTATTACGCGGAACATACGCTCCAGTTACACACAATGTCTCCTACAGATAGAGTTAAAAAGGAGCGGCAATCTCCAGATTTCCGCTCCTTTCTGATTGCTTTTCTTTGCCAATAGAGTGCGTAATACCGATATGCCATAACACGATTATGAAGTATTATCTTTGCGAGGGTCGTTTGGGTCACGCTCGGAGCTTAAATGCATTATTATAAACCAATTACTGAAGAGCCCAATATGCAGAGATCGACTACATACTTCCTGTGATCGTGATCCTGAAATAGTGAAATAGTGGCAAAGACAATATGAAATTTTGTTCCATTCATGTACTACGGTGATTTCATGGGAGCAACGGAAACAGACGCATTCGATACACAGGGATCCGCTCACAACCCTACGATGCACGAACAGCATTTAGGTGTTAGCTGTCAATAGGTGTTTATGAGCGGTTATTCTTCGACGATTCGCGATATCGATATCAGTTGCTTGTTTTAGCTGACTGGGTGATCAATTGTAAATTCGAGAGACTTCATACAGTAGATTATCGTTAAGCTAGTCATTGCCTACAAGCCAAGGTCCAGTATATTTCTATTGTATAATGCAACTGCAACTACCCAGACCACCTATACTCTTTTCGCTGCAGCTTCATCCCGAATTTTAATTGCCTTAAATTTTTGGCGCAGAATTAACTAGTGTTATTATTTCATGTCAAAACTTGACTATTTGTTGTTTCAATGAGCAGTAATGACTTGCAAAAGTCCCTCCATAGATGCCGCGTTATTCTAGCAACAGTCATAAAATACTACCGCACATGCTAATATACACAAAATACTCAAAAACACTAGTCAGCTTATGACGAATGTCTTAATTAGAGGAACTGACTTGGGTTCCTCCAATTGCAGTGCAAAATGCCATGAGATTCAACAGCTGTAGATACGCTGCAATCAGTTTGAATTAGCAGAAGCAAGTTTTGAGCAGAAATGCTCACTCAGTTAGCGGCTTCGGCGTCAGCGTCAATGGGCATCCAGCCATTTTTCAGCATCTTCCTGCTTTCCTTCATCCTCAGTGTCTTTACGGTAATCATTCTTATTATTGTCATGTTCTATTGATATTTGCCGTTTGCTGTCTTGACTTAAGGCGGTAGGATTCCAGTCATTAGTTTGCATAGTTACACCGTGTCCTGTAGCCTGTGGACGATGTAGGGTTTTTGGTTCAGTATAGGGAATTCCCGCTATGAAACCAATGTGGAGGTGACTGTCATCACCGTCCTGATGCCCCTTTTCGTCGTCTTTAATGAAGGCCTCGTTGTAAGAATTTTCATTGTGAGCACTACTTTTATGATGTGCAACCTCTGTCGGGTGGAGATTCTGATGAATTCCGTAATTCCGGTGCAAATCAGACGGCTCGGTGTTGAGGTGATTTCTCAATGAGAGTATGTGCGCATCTCCAAGATTTAAATGATCCACAGCGGCTTCAAGGTGAGTATCATCGGTTGCTTCGTGATCACTAGAACTATAAGCCTTATTATTAGCATAATCTGTTTCCATATGTGAAGAGACGACCTTAGTTGGCCAAGGCATTATTTCCGCTGAAGTTTTAACAGGTGGAGCCCGCATGGCCTGCACTGGAACGTCACTTACATCAAATCCTCCAAGTTTAGCACTTTCAACGTCGAATGGACTGGCATGCATAATCTTCGCGTAGCCTACTTCTTTCGTTTCTAATACCTCTGCAGTTTGAGTAGTCTTGAGCTCTTCACTCTTCATTTTCGAACGCCATCCATGGATTTGCAATCTTGCTCCAGAAACTTCTCGGCCTTGAGACGGCCAACTTCCTTGGAAACCTGCCCATCCGTCATTGGTTTGAGCATCATTTTCCACCACCTTAGTCAACTCTCCATCAGATCCCTTTACAAATCCGGCTACCTTTAAGGCAGGTAAAATTTCCTCCTGCACTTCAATCTGGCGTGGATTATAGCTATCGTATCCTACAGACGCCATGTGACCGCCATCAGTTATCCAGTTATTACCACCAGCGTTGTGTACGATTTGTTTCACAGTTACTTTATGCCCGCCTGCATGACCTGCTTGGAACGGCGCAGCTTCTTTTATTTCGACCTTTTTGAGGTGTCCATCTATATAAGGACTCCATCTTCCAAAGCCACCGTGGTTCCATTCCGCCCTAATTTGTCTTCCTTCCCAACCACCTACCACTCCCGCGTCTCCGAGTTCCCATCCTCCAGGACCACCCCTACCTTCACCGTAATTCCAGTCGCCCTTCCACGGAACGGCCTCTAACTCTGTAGCCTGCGATATGAAACGAAAGCATGAGAATGTCATGTAACGGATAATTTCAGCTCGCCAATACGCGAGGAAATGTTATTATCGTAATACAAAAAAAGTATCTTGTTAATGCTCAATACAGGTTGCAATAGAAAAACGAGAAATGTTTCAATTAAAGTATCTAATATAAAAATGGTCCTTTCTCTTGAGAACACAACCCAAAGTCACACATCAAGCTAGCCCTTCGTTTAATCTAATTCGGATCTTCATCTAAAAAGAACTGAAAAAAACCAATCATCACTCATCTGGCAACTGCATTCGTCATGCTTGAAGCTTGCAGAGCAGAATCAACTAAATCTTCAATCAATGTTTAGCCAGTGCGTGACAGATCTGCTAATAATCGTTCTACTGAGATAACTTCGTAAAAAAGAGCTCAGAAAACCGCCTGTCAACAACCTCCGAGAGAGGTTCAGCTAAATCTAGCATTGTATAAAAATATATATAAGTATAATAATATTGTGTAAGTATATAATAAATAATATTGTGTTCGTTTACCTTATATTGCTCCTGTTTATGTTTATGACGCTTGATAATCGGAAGAGGAATTGGAATAGGTATAATAGTGTGCGTAATAAATTTAGCAGCTAGCGCCAATTTCGCCAATTTTTTTAACCGAATTTTGTGTTGGATGTGAGAAACATCTGCTTGTCCTGATTGAAGATAGACAGCGATAGCCACGAGCAGCACCAAAGTTACCCAATATGTTGACCTGGTGGGGACACGGAGCAACAGCATTCTGTAATATAGGAACAAATCAATAGTCGTTAGCATGACCTCGGTCAAGTGAAACGTGTTGAAAGGCTTTCTCGGTTTCTGCCCGTGGAGAGCTTGACGAGCTTTGTGCCTTGAGAACAACGAGGTGCTTATTTTCTGGCAAATGAGCGGACCATAAGTAGAGTAAGTGTGTACTCAGGTTGAACTACTTTGTCCACGTAGAACGTCCAATGATTAATAGAACTATAATTTAACGCATTTTATTACCCCGTTTACATATGTGTGCATTTTCAAAAATCTCGATGACGATGACAAAAGTCGTTTCTTCTTATCACCATTATTTTGGCCTGTCGTACTGTTTTAGTGCTTCGAAATAAATATGCGCAGAATTGTTAGTTCGCTTTGGGAATGAACGAATGTCCGACATTCTTTGACACTACAACTGACTGGTAGAGCTGGGGACTTCTACGATGTGCTATCGACAGCCGATAAATAAAGCTATAATTTGTAAGCAACATTCGTTATATAATAGCTATTTGAAACACGATTTTTTTAAGTTAATCCATATCGCACCTTTTTAGCATACTGTACGTTACATGTTACATACAGGAAGCTTTTATTATTATAACGCACCCCGTGCAACTTCTATTAAATTGTCCCATTGATTTAAGTGTACAAATTATAGATTCATTTGCAACAGAACTATTTATACGATTATGTACATAGTTGTATTAGTAAAACATATACAACGCAGGATTAAATAAAAGCTCAATATGTGTTTCTAGCTGCATGAAAGTTATACGGGTTATTTTCATCACCGACCTCTGACGAATATACTTTTATCGAATATTTTCATTTTTTTCTGCGTTAAAATTCTTGCGCTTATCAAGTTTAGTATGCATACGTTTAGCATACAATTATAACAATTAGACGTAGAATGTTGGGAGGATGCCGTCGCCCAAACAGTCCTGGGTCTTAAGCGTATCTGTTCCACAGCGCATTCAAGTTTAGCTTTTCCTTTGGCTCTAGTTATTTCATATGTAGTAATATACTCTAAACTCAGCAAAGCAGTTACGGTATTCGATTAGTTATACCTAACGCACAGTACTTCGACTTACGTTAGCCAAAATGAAGCACGGCTTGCCCTCATCACAAGATGATGTTGATGGTTTTCCATCAAGCAACCAGGTATTGATTTGAAAACAGTAGTTTTCAAATTTTCTATTCAAACAATGCAATGATTAAATCTATATGGCTTAAGGTTAAAAAATGGATATTTCTGACAATATTCCTCTATCGAAAATCAGTGAAGAAATATTTTTTTTGTAAAAGCAGCCGTGCAAGAAATATAATGAAGGGCTGATAAGGAAATGACACAACAAATCCAATATTATAATGCAGGCATTTTAAATTGCGCCATTCGATCCTAACTACAGCCATTAACTAGCATTAATTTATACGGTTCATTGATTCTCCTTCGACTTTACGCCAGGGCGTAAAAATGCGTGTGCTCGCATTATCGAAATGCAGTATGCAGACAAGCACTTAGCCTTAGCGGGTATCCGTAAAAATAGCAATAATAACAACCACATCGATTGTTTACAACATGTCACCCGTGAAAACTAACTTCAAACCAGACAACGCGTCGATGGCATTGCCCACGCTGCGTGAGATTGCTCTCAGCTGTCCCTTGTCTTCGGTTCTAGTCCACTTTGTCACCATCACAATGGTCGTCATCAAATCCTTTGTTGCTGGTTCGACATGCGGCCCTTTCTGCGCCTACGTCTATGGGGTACGGCGGAAAAGTCTATTCTAAGAGCTTGCTCCTTCTGCTTAACGACGACTAACGTCTTTTTCGTTTGTCCTGCTTTTTTTTTCCGTTACACTGCCATTGTGTTGTCTTGGTCCGTTACTAACTTGTCCATTGCACAGCCGCCCGTCCGGCTCCTTGGGATTAGTCCATTATTTCAACTATGCGATAATTTTATATTATAAGGGCTAGCTATGGCTGGTATCATTAAAACGATTTTTTTCATAATGGAGCTATTTTTACTTTTGTTACTGTTAAAGTTCGTTACTAAAACACTATCTGAAAATATCCCAACCGAAACAAGCAAACAAAAAAATGTAGTAAACCGAGCGGGCTGCTAACAAATGGGAATTCGATGTATCCAATGCATTAAGTATGGCATTGAGCAACAGTGGGAAATCGATCTCCCGAATGGATTAACGGACCCATGATCTCAGTTGATTTTACCGATACTGGCCGCGTAGGCGACATACTTGCATGATGATTAGCATTAATTACGCCTACTCAGACGACTTGTAATGGACAATGACTGTATGCGCCAGCTCTGTCAGCTAATGCTTCGTCCTAAGGATAGTTATTAGCCCAGTTATGCAAGTATAATTGCATTGAAATTACTAACAGTTTTTAAATATGAAGATACCAAAGGAAGGCCATGCATGGTACAACCGAGGTGGTCTTCAATTAGCCCATTCTACATCTAGACTCTAGAGATTTTTAACGCCCAAGCAGCATTAGCAGGTGAACAAACAAAAATTGTAATTGTCGAACTAAAGAAAAAGTTCGCACCCAAATTATTAACACATTTGAAAGTGATGAGCAAAGTTACGACTGAAAAATTAACATTGTTCTTAACGAAACGTAGGCCGTATCTATAAATTCGAGCCGATTTCTGAAAGTTACGTTGGAAAACAAAAGATAGTTACCACACATGAGCATTATATATTGTTAAAAGGTTTCTTTGGTTCTCGAGCTTTTAATACGCATATCTTTCTGTCGTGCTAAGAGTTAGGAAACATTCAGAGAAAGAAATTCTTTCTAGAAGATATGAATCAAATCCAGGTTTCGTTTGTTACGACGCCCATTGGGGCTCACAGAATGTACAGAAGGACATGACCCAGAACTGGGCAAAACCCAAAACCAACAAATGCTGATGGTATACAACAGTCCGGCTTTATGATTAGATGCTTGACTGAAACGTCAAAGACATTTAATCAATTTGGTCAGCGCATAGCACAAATGTAAATTGTACATTACCTTCTAATAATTGAACAGCCTGCCGGCCGCAGGCGTAAGAGGTAAAGTTCAATACGGGACAACGTTTTTCTAGCCCTATTATTATTATTATTATATGGACCCCTGGATACTTGCCCATTGCAGTCCCTTCAGGCATTATAGCTAACAAAATAAAAGCAAATAGACTCACTGAACGCACAGAGGGGTGCCACAGCGTTACGGCACTCTCTTGCCCTCTGGAAAACTGACTTCCGTAGAGCTTTTCGCCGAGAAGAAGAAATTGACACAAAAAAGAAGATTGCTAGCTCATATCGAAAAATTATAAATCAATTGAAGTCATGTGAGATGCCTCACTAGATGCCAACGTATACTGCTCTTTTATGAGTTAGTTTGGGGAAGTCAAAATGGAAAGCGTCGAAAAGGGACAATTTCTCCCACAAACGCGGTCAGAAGGTGAAAATGGCCATCCAAGTGAGATAATAAAATAATAAAGGAGATATCGGCTTTTATAAACATTAAATCTATTTTGTTTAGTGACGATGTTAAAAAACTGCCGCACAACGTACGTTTATGTATTCAGATGTCGAAGCTTCTATTCATTTGAAAATTTTTAGCAAAAATATTCTAACACATAGCAATCGGTGCTTTTCCTTTTACAGAATATATGTACGCTGCGTTTGAATATGTCGCCTATATGCCATGGGCGATATTTGCTACGTGGTATTCGTCAAATCACGCAGAATCACAAAACTTCTAGACCATTTTTTTGGGCCGTTGGTAGCTCTGACAAGGTTAGAAGCAAGTTTTAGCTCTACGTACATATGAATAAGCCTATGATATATATAACGCGACATGAGAATACCCGCGACCTATGACGAAAATGCGTCACGAAAATTGCCGTGTTCTCTAGCACCCAGGACGTTAGCAAGATATTGCTTTGAAAATATTGTGGCTTACAAATAAAACCATATTTTCAGCAAATGATCATTCCCAGAGAATACCTTTAGTCTATCGGTCACTTCAGAGTGGTCAGCATGTACGCTGTGTTGTAGGGCTGGGTTCTCTAATCTGGAAGGAATCTAAGGAAAAACTTAACCCGGGTTATTTTAAGACGCATGCTATTTCGTATCCATTCGTTAACCAGTTCGTTTCAAATACGGCTTCGTGCCAAAATCATCCGCTCTAAAAACTCACAGTTTTGGTCTACTCTTAGGTTTACTACTACGGTCATGAATTTGCAAATTCGAAACAAGGAGCCGCCGCAAATCCAGCTAGATGATGGGTCTGAATTCGGGTCGCTTTATTTCGGATATATACCTTAAAATCTACATCATTCGAAACATCAATTACAATCCAGTCGAACTCCGTAGAATTCAAACACGGTTCTCAATTTTCGGTCTACAATTTCGATCAGATACAACGAGGAGGCGACCCTTAAACGATACCTCCGATTCCAGATACGATTAAGAAGTACTCTTATGAATCGTACTCTTCCAATCAACTCTTATAAAACGCTTCCCAACAACAAGATTAAATCGAAACTAAGTTCTTGAATACCTCATTTAATGGGGTTACAGTCTCTAGGTTCGGGCTCGGGTTGCTCTGAATCCACTGTGCTAGATAAAACTATCATTGGCCCTCGCGTATTCTGTATATCTATCTTTAAAAAAAAGATACTTATAGTAGTAGTAGTATTGCACGTGGATGGACGCTAGAGTGTTGTCGGTGTCTTTAGATAGAGTGGTAACATACTGACTAAAAGAGACCAGCCCGAAAATAATTTTTGGTTCCCAAACAGTTTATAATATGTAGTTGCGGTGTATGGTATCATACTTTTTCTATCAGTATAAATGCGACTTTGTCGTTCTTCATCTCCTGTACGTGGACACTTCTTACCTTTATAGTAACGTTCGTGCTGCGGTTAAACGATGGTGTTGACAGTGATGTAATATTCAGCGACTATATTCAAAATTGTAATTTCTAAGAATAACGCTCGTATTATGCAGACACAGACAATTCATAATCTAATAACCATAATTATTCTCTCAAGTAATAATTATTTCCTTCGAATAACATCAAACCTCCACCGAAACATCCGACGATTAACAGCCACAATAACGTTAAGCGCACGAAGACGTACGACTGTTAACGCTAACAGATGCACAAAACACAACCATGTAGACAAGCACATTGGCTAACGTAGAGAACGTATACGACACTGGGGACAGACCACAGCATCCGCGAGGTGGCGTGGCCCTTTTATCAGGCAGCGTCAACCAGTGAGCAACGTTGAAAGGGGACACTGGGGTTAAGCAGAAACCCATTCCACACGTTTCCCACTGATATTGTTCGTTCGCCGTACAACGTGGACAAAGCCCCGGAGAAGCAGCTGCCCTCTCCAGCAGAAGCCGGCCACTTGTGCTGTGCAAGCGAGCAAAAAGGAAAAACCAACATCCCACAATATTGGCTTAACTAGAACATCGCATGAACTATACAGGCGGGATTCGTGAAACGATCAATCGAAGGCCGGTGACTTCCTCCAATTATAGAGAGTACATCGTCGAGTAGGTTAAGTATTAAACCACATTTTATTTAATTACGGCTTTGTATCGCTATTATTTACTAGGAACAACAATCGCGCAACGAGCCATTTCATAATAGAGGTGTTTGGTACAACGAAACTACTACGTCGTTTTATTACAGGGCCACTTTAACGTGTAACGCAGGTTTAACAACGATTACTGTCTCTGAGAGCGACACGCGTGCTGTCACCCAGGAAGCACATATCATATACATGAATGAGGTCTCATCAGGTCAGGTAGAACATTTTCAGATAAATAAGAATCAATGTTTACAAAACACTCGTTGCTTCTTTGCTGTCACATAGGTCTGTTGACAAAACTTAAAATGACTGCCCCCACCAGGTTGTTGAGGCAGGCCAGCCTCACAGAGAGCAATCGAATGGAGGACTAGTCCTAGTCAAAATATTAGAAGAAAAAGATGAAAAATATAATTAAATGCTGGGGTATTCGAATTGCTAAGACTGTTAAACTAATCACGTCTTTTTTTGAGACAATCAATAAACATATATATTTTGAAATATTTAGTAGTCTATAGCAAAGCTGCTAGGTGGAGAATAAAGCCATTGTTTAATGTTTAGTAGTAGATCGATCGGAGTAAGCAGTCTAACTAAGATATCTAGATGTTCTAGATATAACATAATTCTATAGACTAGCTAAATCTTCGTTACACACAAAATACATCTCACGCGTTTTTTTTTATGAAATAAACTTGTTTAATGTTGTATAGTCTTGTGGGAAATTATTGTGAAGGGATTAATTTAAGCAATCACGCATGGAAGCAGCGTAAGAGGCTTGGAGTCTAGACCAATGTGTCTCTTAACACGGGGCTTTCGCTTTAAGCGATAGATAACCAATCCTAAGCGATTATTTCTAATGTAAACAACAATCTTAGGCTCTGCTTGGCCACCCGTATTTGAAAAATTTAGGATAGATGGGACACAGATCTGATCAACTACGGTAATGCATATTAGCAAAAACACAAAGCACAAAAACCTAATGGGTCATCATCGATAGTGCAGTTCCTTTTGATATAATACAAGCTGCGCCATCCTTAGGGATAGAATTTTTCTTTTTCTGTTTGCGACTTGGAAATATATATACATGCCATATGCATTTCTTCGTGGGTATTAAGAGAAGCAAAAGGGGAGATTCACACATCTGAAGCGTGCTGAACAACAATTATAGTTAGCACATGATTCCATACACTCAACGAATGAGAATATGATAGATAACACACTGAGCAGAGTCAGGGAATCCTTACCGAAGCATGAGAGTTATAGTAGCTCATATAATTGATCGTATCGTTGGCTCGGTAAGCATCTTCATAAGCAGCAGTGCATATCCTCTGTTCCGCATCGAAACTGGGTAAGCTGCAAGCAACTGAGCTAGTGTGTCTCTTTGATGAGGAAATCCTACGATTTTTCGACAAAATCAAGATTTAAACAACAAAAAGACCGAGCATATGCAAATCTTGCCAGATGACGCGTTAATGTTTGCGCGGAAGATGTATCTGCATTTGTTCACGTAAATCAGACTAAGACATACGACCGAGAATAAACAGTGTCTTGCAGTGTGCTACGCCTGTGCCAGTGTATATTTCCCTATGAAAATCAATAGTTGTCGATTACAAGCAAACTTCTCGATCATTGATCACGGGAAAAAACCAAGTATGTAAGATATATTTGGTAACAAGTTTAGATAATAAGCTGTTAGATCCAATAGCACTTTGACAACGACAGTACGGTTACTTAGGGACGACTGGCATTAGCCCGATGTGTTACCAATTATGAAGCATTGTCTTTATGCGATATAATGTTAATATAAAAATGAACTTCCTCTCAAATTTTGCAGCGATTCTATCGGGTAGAGCATAATACATATGTCTAAAATATGTGAATCTGACTGTAAGCGCTAAAAAACACTGAACCGAAAAAAACATTTTCATGCATCTTTAATTTGTTAGTAGTCCTTCCTGTCTTACATGCAGTAGGGAGTAAATTCCCGTGGCTCCTCCATCAGATTCGTTACGGTCGACGGCCTTGCGCTTTTGAAAACTAGAAATAGGCCGTGTTTCGTAGAGGTTTCCACCCGAGTTCTACCAGTCGCTTAGATAAGGCTTTTACACGTAAATGCAGCACGATGATTGCGATCAGATTAAAATCCTCCGCGAGCTTCTAATATAAGCAATCGAAACGGCTTTATTTATTTAAGATTTAACTATTAAACCAGACTAACGTGGTTGACGTAAACAGGTATTTCATGGCACCAAAAACCACTTCATCCTGAATGTTCCTTCTGGCATCCATGGCTAATGCTGGTGCGTCCGTGCGGCACTTAATGTGACGATAACAGCCCAACAGCTCACGTGCACGGGGTATTCTCATAAAAAAAAAAATTGTTGTATATTTTGAGTCCAAGTCGCACTCATGGGTCTTTGACGAAATAAACAAATATAAAATTTAGGCAAATTGTAGTGGGGGTATTGGTATAAAGAGGTGCTGCCTTCTTTAAACAGCTTCAGAAAGACTTTTGGCCAGCTTACACAAAAACTCATCAGTTTCGGCAACAAAGCTGCAACTTGGGCACTTACTGCTAATTGAAACGATCCTCCGATAGGTTTCGTTTTTCCAAAATGTTCGAAAACAGTTTTTTTTATTTAAAAAAAGTGTCAAAAATATTTCAGAGAATACCGAAGACCAAACTCTCCTTCTATTCCAGTTCAAATAGACGCCATCTGTTTGACAGTTATTACTCGAAATTCAGAGGTTACCAACTAACTGTCTATATAACTAACTATGCCAGTTATGATTGTGTAGGCAGTGAGATGATATGAGCTTTAATTATAAATGGCATTGCTAAAAATTAATCGCTTACTAAATATTTCAGTCAATTGTGCAGTGGAAATGTGTTCACTTGTGTGAGAACAGACGGATGTAGCCTTTTCCTTATGCCGCCTTTGACTTATTTCCTTCCCTTAAAAAATCATTCACCTCGGTGATAATCGTGTTATAGTTTGCTACAGAAACGGTGGAGCTGTCACTGTTACGAGTAAAAGTTAACCATCTGCCCGCTGTGATTAAGTGCTGAAAAAAGATTCGACCCTATTTACAGACGGAACAATCCAACGACGATAACGTCGGCTCTGTTCTCGTGCGAGCGCGTCTTTCTCAAACCATGGTCCGATCATTGTCAACCGAAAAGGCAGATGGTCCCTTATCGCATTTCGTCGCACTGCCTTACGCAGACGGCCATGCTGCAGTTGTTGTTGTTGTTACTAACATTGTTGCTTTTATAATTGCCCCCACACCGGGTAAAGTAGAAAGGTGACAGTGGCACTAGCAGGGACACCTGTATCCTTCAGCATTATTCGATCACCATTATTACTACCACTTCGGTTAGTACTCAGATAGAGTAGGTAGCAGTAGCCAGATAGATACTCGGCTGATTGCGCGCGAAACGAAAACAGTAATGCTCTTGGTGTGGTAATGATGATAGGGGATGATGATGATAGTGATTACTGTCTTCCGCACGGGTCAGTCGCTGTATGTCAACATTACGGACACCGTCGCTAGAGCCGACAACGATTCTTCAGTTGCGTTTATTTAGGTCGCTGAGGAGCGCGATGTGGCTAGTCTAAAGCGGGCGCGAATAATGAAAAAAAGCGACTTGTGACGTCGTTGAATTTGAATAGGAAGTGTGATAACTATTAAGGTAGATGGCCCGCCCGTTGTTTTTGAGTCTGCCTCTGGTTTATAGTTACTTAGCAGCTTGACATTGGAGGTCGATGGTAGTTGTAACAATAAGAACAGCTATCATGATAGGTGATGTTGGAGTTACATCATTCAAGATTGGAATGATTTTTAATGGCCGTAAAAGTGGACTTGCTGAAATTGTCGTCGCAATAATATTGTCGTTGGTATTATGGTTAGCCTCTTTCCTTTTGTCTACTCATTGACTGACTGAGTTGTTAAATAAAGGCGTACCTATGCTCGCAGGAAAAAAAGAGTGGGTAAAATGCAGCAGCCTAAATATTATCATAGCTCTAAGTACAACACAGGGAATAGATGGAATCGGTGACACAGGGCTAAACTGATTTCGATAGATGATTAAACAATATCGATCGTCTCCGGCTCCTCTGTGTTCCCTTTCACAATATGTCTTGTGAATAAATAGCTTAGTTGGTAATTAATTTTAATCCGTGCTACTTATATAAGGTAGCAGTGAGTTCAAATGGAAAAGAACATGTAAAATACACCTGATATGTAAAAGCACAACTACCTGCTAATGAAGACATATTTTATTGGAGGTAGGATCAAACCGCTACGGAACTGACTCAGTGATTTTTGTATCTGGTATATGACCCACTTGCAAAACTCATTGACATTAACAGCTTCTGCATAAAAAGTTTTTCTTAAATTCATGTTGTGTCTCATTGTGATCCTTATAAGATAGTACCGCAAGCACCGTAGCTACTCGGCCTTTCTAACGCAGCAAGACAGCAGTAAAGGATCCAGGTAAACTTATAACACAAGTTTGGCTTTGGATGCATCAGATTCTGAGTAACAAAGTCTCTTTAGACAGATTTTTGACAAAAAGTGAAGCAGGCGACCAACTAATTTACTTTTTCCGTATGTAGTCGAAAATTAGTTAATGTGTAATATATACTTTACACTGTAGCCAAATACAGCAGTTCTCCTAGTCAATTCAGTAAGGAGTAAATATTTGCACTGGTTCTTTCTTTCTCTCCCTATATATACATGTATATATAAATGAATAAGCGAAACAACCCATTCGGCCACATTTCGTTCTGTGCTGTTCAATGGATATGTAAATGTCGATCTAATTTTAGTTAGCATATGAAGGGACTATTACAGCAATGGTAGTACCCTCTGTCGTTTTTTACATTCTGCTATCTCTGCCTTATACGTTCGATACGAGAGGGTATTTACTGAATCTATGCACCGCCCCCACAAAGGCTACTTGTTGAATTCTTGGACCTTTCACAGAACGTCGCCCATTTACACACCGCCCATGGCTACTGTAAACTTATTATTACTTTTTAATGTGACCCAACAAGTGGCCACTGTCGAAGTTTTATTTCAATCTAAAAAAAAGAACGTTGTAAAATTAAAGAGAAGGCTGATGCTTCATCCGATGGGCACTAACATCGCAGTTATCAGCTTGCCCCTACTGTTACCGCATAGGGAGAAATACCTCCAGATATGAACGAAATATTTAAACACACATGTTGTATGCTATTGGTGTTAAAAAAAAAAGCGATAGTCGTCAGCTATTGAGTACGTAAGTACAACTAAAAGACACATTCTCGTTATCCTGCATCCTGTAAGGAGGCTATATTAGTCCTTTACTCCGATGTGACCACTCCATACAGCCGATACTCATTTGGGTCAACTGCAGAACAAAACAAAAAACCGAAGACCACTAATTTTAGTAATGAATGCCATAACACCGCATAATGGCAGCAAATCAAACCCAGAGGATATGGACACGTAGAGAGAGAAACATAGATAAATACAATATGTCTGTTACTTAAAATCGGTCTCGGAAAAAAGTAAAGCTGATCAAAATTTCCGTTCGACCCTGAATTGCTTTTTTGATATATCACTATTTAGAAAAAAAAAACTAATTAAATTAAATAGTCATTTACCGTTTTGCTCGGCAATTCTGTTCGGACTTCCACTTTGAAGCCAGACGACCCAGTTAGAAAATTTGTCTCAGTCTTTTGTAGAATAATGTAGCTCTATTACAAGCGAATCGCCGATCGCTTTTTCACCTTTCTTATCCTAACGGCATCTATTACAATAGTCCTAGATGATTTCTAACGCCAGGGTAATGTTCCCTTGCAGTTTTCATAGGCCACAGTCGATGTGCAGTGTGCACGTGGATATACTTTTTTGTAAAAACTGGTCGCACTTCATGCTTTTGGGAGGAATAAAAAGCCAATTAGTTTATTTAATTTTGTCCGGTTCCTAAATGTGATTGGCCGACGAAGTTCAAAAACAGGGTGTTTTCATAGTTGCCATTCGGTCTTAGCATGCAAGCTCGTAGTGCATTATATCCAGTGCTGAAACGCTCACGTAGATGTACTGTTAAATACGGGTCAAAGTATGACATAATTTGCTTTTCACTTCAATCAGTGAACAATGATTTTGCCTGCTTTAATCGACGCACGTCGTTTAGACTACGGCAACCGTAGACAAATAGAGTATTGAAGCACAACGTCATGTCAGTCAATAGACCGTTGCTAAGATCCAATTTAGAACGGGAGAAGGAAGCTATAAAAGAACCGGAAATAATAGTAATAATAATAGAAATAATATATATAACAGAAAAGGGAACAATTCTATAATTGTGTTGCTTAGAGTGTATGACATCTATGTTTATGCGCGGTCTATGTTTATGAGCGAAACAGAGAACATTTTAATTAAAGGGGTCGCTTTTACTTTTAAAGGAAATGGACGAATACCGAAAGTCTGTACGCCCGGTAAGAAAGATATTTGTACAGATTTCGATAGAGTATTGCAGGGTATAATACGCGAATACATCAGCTCTCATGCAATCAAGCATAGAAACACTGAATGCCATTTATTATTAGTTGGTAAATATATATATAACTTCAACCAAAATTTAACAAAACTTAACAAAATGGGTCCTCTAACTTGAAGATCTCAGTACAAATGACTGTCAAAGGAACCAAGATTTATCCGATTTTGATAACCGATATGAAAAAAATCAAATAAAAAGGAAAGAATATTAAACAGCGCCATTATCGAACGTCGACCTGAGGGGTCACTGTGCTATTCTACAGGTAACAAGGGCAACGAATGTCATGGAGAAGACCGTTCTTTTTATGTTTATATGCTTGGTCTTGGTAAAAAAAAACCAGCGGTCCGACTATTAGCCTGCTCCTTTTGACCGACAATTGCTAGATTAGTGTAACTGTAGTTACATGTACAACCGTCCATTGTGGCATTAACATCCATCAGTTTTTTTGTTAGATTTTGTTAGTTTAACTATTAAGATTGAGAGCTCAATCGTTTGCAACAATACGAGAAAATAAATAAGCAGAACGCCAAGTACATATGAAACAAAAAGGTTTGTTTAGCAATATAATTGTTATCGACCTAGTCCAATGACAAAACGCGAGCCAAGCTACTCTACGAGAGATAAAAGAAAAGCCATCGACATTAGGAAACATAAAAAGGCACCATACCATACTAGGGTTGAGGACAGATACATGATATATAATAGAAGTACACAAAGTGATGAAGGCAAAAATTGAGTACCCTATAAATAGACGTACGAAGACCACATGCCACAGCCACTATGTTTCGCATATCGAAGCAAAGGAAAATAACATTTTTAAAAGTAGACTACGCTATGTGCGAGGGCCTATTTCGTTTGAATTAACGCTAAAAAGTTAGAGAGCTAGCAAACAAGATAATTCTAATTCTACTTATTTTATTACTCAATAATGGAAGTACCATTTACTATGAGAGAAAACTGACTTTGAGACACAGGAGTTTGATCTAAATGCCGAAAATATCCGGGTAGTACATGTAGCAGCTACGGGACAAGCTTTGAATACTTCGGGGAACAGAATATTCGTGAACTTTATTTAAAAAGCTTGATCTTGAGCACCACAGTTCACAACTTCGATACACAACTTTCTTGATTAATGTGTAGTTTTTGGTAATATAAATATTACTATTATTATCATTAATACAATATTGGAAAACGGGAGCTAACTATATCCTTATAAATTATAGTTAATGGCAAAAATGCGTACGAGTTTCACTAACCCTACCAACCGAACAGAAGTTAAGCAGCTTCAGCATTCAGAATGAAATCCGTCGTATGACAATGGAAAAAAAAACCCGACGAGGTCTCTTGTTCTCCACGTAAGTGGAACTGCTGGTCGGCGTTATTGAATATCTAACTATCGAAATGGTTTTTAATAACAACGAGGTCCTCACCGTCTTGTTTGACAGTAAAAACACCTTTTCTCCTCGAGGTCCTCTCTTTTGTATTCTGAGTTCATCTGCAAAAAAATATTAACAATGTTCTAATCAATATCTTTGGAACCTTCAATGTTTGCAGCATATCAAACAAACAGCCTTGCAACATATTATACGTATGCAAAGAAACCAGTCAATGCGGTCGTCCAGTTGATCCGGGATATGCGCATATTGCAATGTAATCTTCGAAACAATATGTACCCCTATTGCCTCATTTTATCCACCTCTTTTCAAACCGATTGTTATAAGAAAAATTTTGTCCTATTTCAAAGTGTAGACAGCTTATGTTAACATATATATATATATATATATATATATATATATATATATATATATATATATTGACAAACGAATTCCGAATTTTCCCAAAAATCGACAAAACGTATGCAAAATCTTTCAGTGACAATATATTTATTAAAGAGAGTTAAGACTGAACAACTGTTGTTTGATCACTCACCACAAATAAAGAACGTCTAAAAAGTAAAAAACAAAGCACCTAAACGGTTCGTTTTCGAACCATGTTACTGAAGCAGAGCTCCTGTGTTGTGTTCCCTTTCGTTAAAGGTATCGTTTGGTGCCGTCGCAACAATAGTGAGAAATAGGATCCTAGCCATTGTTCGAAAATTGTTTGTACGTACCTGCACACAAAATGACCCGTTGCTTGATCTGCTAGTTCTGTTGCTAAATCATTGAAAATAGGTGGGCCTTTTCACCCGTAGTATCTGCGGTAATAGCTGCGAATCTTCCATGTCAAACCGTCATTGCTAAAGTAGTTGAATGATTCACCGCAATTAAGACGATGAACTCCTTAATATGACTTACTTGTTTCTCTGTGTTACTAATTGTATCACACAATTAGCACAGACGAATGCTTAATAGCAGAAGTACTATGAAGTGAAGAAGAAGAATAACTGAAAAGAAACGAGAAAAGTCTGGAAACATTGCATAGTATTATTTAAAATTATTCTTTGAGACATTAAATTGATCGAGATTGACTATGGCGCTATGCAATCACCCGAAGACTACTTAATACCAACAGGACTCGCACATGCGATCGCTGTCAATGCACTCAAACTGCAGTAGCTGCGTCATTTTTCTTTTATCATCATTTAGTGAGTTGATCTACCGGCCGATCGATACAGAGTCGATTCCAATGACGTCGACACCGTGGCGATAATGTATCGTTTGTAGGATCTCGGTGGACATTTGAAGCGTCATTGGTACTCGTTCATTCATACTACTGACGGTTCTACATGCCAGCCAGACGGACATTGTGGCAACGTAACCTAACGCCAATCCAAGTGCGGAAGCTAGCAGTACAAGCAATAAGATAATAGGTCAAGCAATTGGCGGCGCAGCTTTATTTAAAATGCACACAGCCACCATCATATATACTGTGCTGCATTTATTGCTGCGTCCAACAGCAACAAGAGCGATATTTGACAAAATGTCCGGACTAAGCGTGACAATCACGCTTGTCAGACCTGTACACACACTACGTCGCTGCAATCAACAACGACTGAGATGTTAACGACTGGCTATCAGTCGATAAGGACGTATGGGGTTATACATACGAACACTGAAAAAATATGCTTTTACCAGTAAAATAATACAATGGTTTACCATCGCAGAGGTTTATCGTTTTTTAGTACCAACAACAGTAAGAATAACCGCCTACGAAAGACAGTAGAACAGTTTCAATGTGTACTGTGTGAAAGCGCACTCTTTCCACGAACGGAACCTGCACGCTTGTGCGAATTTCCACAAACAATAGAGAAATTGTTATTTGGCATGTAATCAGGTACCGCTCATTTATGAGAAACACCATTAGTCGCTCAGCCGTTTTTTGTTCAAAGGTGTTCACATGATTAATTTCAAATGAAACATGATCGGCGCTAGTTGTTAGTCTTGTCGAGGTATTATGTAACACGTTAATAGATACAACACATCCTGTTGAAAATTAATGAATGGAATACAGATGCATTTGCCGTCACCAGCTGGCTATCGCAGGGGCAAAGAGGAAATTAATTCATTTGAAGATACCGCGTAACCGCTGTTCATTGGCTTGGTGCTACGGCGTGTTCGATTCTCTTCATAGCGAGCTCAATACAATAGGTTAGCAAAGATAAATACGTACTTTTCAAATGCTCTATAGAATAATTAACGATCTAATATAAATAGTTAGTATTAACTAAAGGCTATTATTTTATTATAGGCTATTTATTATTATTAATAAATCAACCCTTAGTCCATTTAAGGTATATTTTAAGAGACATATCTATGAATAATGTGTTAGAGTCTAGATTACCGAATAACGACGCTGAGAACTAACTTATAACACATAAAAACACCTTACTGGCGATGGATCTCAAAATGAAATTTCAACATTGTTCAATATATAGTAGTCTGCTCTGACTCTGGGAATGCTGGTTCTGGAAAAACGAGCAGTTTGACCGGCCCAATAATCTCAACGAACATGCATGGATCGATTGCTAATAACTTTTAGCTCAAAATCTAGTTGATAGAAAATATGAACGAGACAGGTCAATTCATTACGGATTAGTGGAAATCCCAAACGTAACGAGGAACTTGCATTTTGGCTTTATTTTTCATTGAGGCCATAAATTCCACTAGTACAGCTGTTATCGGCTCAATCTAATCTTTTTTTTGCAGGTGAAATACCTGACACACTAATACGACGTTACCTGACAAATAAAGCTCGAAAATGGTGGCCCAAGTGCTTCTAAAGGAAAAAAATGTTATAAACGCTGCCAGTAGATTAGATATTTATAGTTGGGTATGATCGTGTAATTCCACATTATCGAGCATTGGTATTTATCTAGCCATGAACGCATGTGAGTCGTGTGCCTACGTAAAGAAATAATCTTTTGGATTAGCTTTATCATTGCATAAAAGAGTATTTAAAAAAGACTCGAATAATAAAATATTTAAGTGAAGACTGAATTTTACTTAAATTAATTTTGCTACAGTCTCGACGAGTATGTCTTACACAAGGAATACAGAAAGGTACACGAATACATAGCCGAGTTTTTGAATAGACTTTCTTATGGCCTATGCAGCATGTCTGTGTATGTGTGTGTACTCATGTAAGTATCTATGTATTTATTTCTTATGCTGTTCTCATTGTTATTTTCATAATATATAATATAATTTCATAATAATACTTTTAGCTGCTTGTTTAACATAGTCTACATTAGATTTTGCCAAGCCACACACAAATCAACAATAACGCTGGCCACTACATTACCATCGTCACTGCTGTGCATGGTGCCTAGTAAGATCGATTGCATACAACCTATCTGGGAAGTCGCCAATTCTCTGCGACACTTTCCCACGAACTGCTCGGTAGACTAACTGATACACGTCATCCCTTTTCCAGCCATTAATTGTGCCCCGTGATAAAGTATTGTGTCACTGGCATAAACTGCATGCACAACTTATCGTTATCCATGTATTTTCTATTTCTGACCAGTGGGGAACAGGACGTCACGAATGGGACGGCACCAGAAGTACAGAACGGACGACTGATAATTTTTTAATGCCATCGTTTTCGTTTTGTTCGTAGTGTTGCTTCTGCGTGCGCGAATCACCTTACGTGTACGACTGTCTGCCAGTACTTAATTAACAATATTGTAATAAGTGTTATTTAGTCAAATAACTAAGACCCGGTGTGGGGCAGTGAATAAAGTTCGCTTTGTATATAGTTCGTCGTTGCGTTAGTATATAATGACTATTAGCAGGTTAAAAGTAATCCTGGGAATGAACGCAGAAACAAGTGGAGCTTTTGCCAGACGGAGAGTTTGCTAATATATTGTTGTCAGCCGCGCTTCTTTTGGTCCGAAGTAAATTGGTCTACTCGACTCTGACCATTACTATTATTATCACTGTAAGGATAAATGATGAAGAAGCTTACCCAGTTATCATTACACGCCATCGGAGCGACAGGATAATACCGTCTTGATTTTATTTTTTCTTTTAACAAATAACAACACTATTTATATATTTAACATGCTAAATATACGATGTTTCTTTATGTATACATGATGAATTTCCCCCTAATTGGCATACTGCGCTAAAATATGATCTGGTTTCTCTCACCGAAATATTAGCCTGTTCTAAAAAATGAAGGACGGTTAAAGCAAGTTGGACCCCGACACTATTCCCCTTAAAAATCGATGTTCTTATATCCCCGAAGAAGATGGCCAAGAATGGTTCATTTTTTAAACAATTTCACGTTAAACCGCGCAGTATTAGATTAGCCTACATCCGATACCTGAGATTTCCATCAGATCGGTCCCTTCATGAATAACGCATCCATTTCCATAGTGTATGCCACAAGGAACATTTACCAACTGGTAAACTATGTCATGGAATCAGAAGGATATTGTTTTGTAAAGGATGCTTTTTTAAACTATAGATAAATAGATTTTTGAATTAATGCCAAGTTAACATATCGCAGGCTTTCATTTTTACAAATTTAGAAGCCCCAGAACGCCTTCCTTTGGCTATACCTAAAGTTTTGGCAGTAACGTTTAGCCTTAAATAAAAACGCTTTGCTCATCTGCCTAAAAATACTTATCAATAATTGAAAATAACACTAAAAAAGTAGCCGACACCGAGTCTAAAATTTTGCGAAGCTTATCTAAACCACTTCGGTATTATCTGGTACATGCAGTTTCGTCGAAAAAGTGCAGCATAACAAAAGCAGCGTTTAAAACTAGCCTCTCTCCACGAAACCAAAATGGCTAACATCGCGCTAATCTAAGAGCTTTCATGATTTTTGTTGTGCCCCTCCCCCACAAATAAAGATAATTCATATTTCGGCTGTTTATAGAAGATTTATATGCGAGAAGTCAAAGTACGATTTTCGTCGTTCAATGCTCAAAGTTAAACACCAGGTTGTGGTCATGTCGTATAAGTTCCATGTTCAAAGCATTCGCGTTCATTCTCCGTTCGTTATTTAGCTTTTCACCTGTACTCTTTAATCTCTCTCATTCCTATTTCTGTCAGTTGCTTTTTCTCTCATTTACTGGATATCTTTCCCTCTCTCTCTATATATATATATATATATACTACTCATTTACTAGCACCGTATTGGGGCCGCAACATAAGTCATTAGGTCTAATTACCAAGATGATTATGTATATTCCGCACAATTAACAGTGGCAGCGCTTAGCACGTGGCGCTTATCTTTACAAACTATTGACCAGGATGAAGACTACTTATTTAGCCCATTATCTTCATACGGTTAAGAGTTAAATATCGTTCTTTTTCTAGCAGAGCCACTCTTTCACTTAGTTTTTTTCGCAGTTTGAATCATTCAGACCATTATCACCCATTTCTTATCATGCTCTCCCTGTGTGTGCTCGTGTGTACGCCTCCTTAAACGTTACACCTGCATTATATATATATGTATGTATACCACCATAATCTCTATTTTTTTTGTATTCAATACCCTAATAAGTGTTCTGCCGTTGCATACAACACTTGTATTCATATTATCTATCATTCATCACTCGTACACTTGTTTGCACTTCTTCAAGATTCCACTTCTTTCATTAAGTTCGTCATTTGTAAAAATGCTTTCCTTATCCTCCTGTCATAGATTCGGCTGCTCATAACCAAATATCTTTGAGCCTACTTTTTTAATCTGATTTATAATCTTCGTCTCGTCTTTTGTCTCGTTTTTCTTTCGACACTTGTTTTGCTTCCCGCTTACCCTAGACATAAAAAATGTAACTAACCATCAGCATCACATTCAGTACCTCCTTTAACTCACATCATTTTTGCTTGGCAGGTCTGACATCACGAACAACAGCAGCAGCCCAAATCCTCGAAGCATCAAATTTCCAATATAACTAACTTTTTTGCTTTTGAATTGCTTCGTCTTAAATATGTGTCACATTCATACCACAGCGTCAACACATACTAAAGCGTGCTTACGCTTTCACTAGCTGTTTATCTCAGACATGTATTTAGGCCGGTAGAAGGCGAGTCACGCAACAAACCTGCTGTCACAATCTCAACCGCCATGAATGTCACTCCCGAATATATACCAATTTACTTTTTGTCTATACGGATGAATGTGGTACGCGGCACAGGAGAGCCTTTATGCACACCCCGCCGAAAAAAGTTTATAAAAATTAATCGTCCTTATTAACACGCAGACTCGCTTTTTTTTTAGCTTCTTATATGGAAAAAAGACAAAAACAATAGCGCTTCTTTTTAAATATTTTAGTTACTCGATGTTGACATATGCTGAGAAGATATAACGTGAACGCATAACAACGTGTCTGCTGATGATTGAAATTTTCTAAGTGAGCATTATTATTATTTATATTATCCTTAGTGGCTCAATTTCGATGGCTAAGTCAGTCTCTCGTAAAAGAGAAGGTACGCTTCCGCATTAAGCGCCGAGGTTTCAGAGGTTTCGTGCACCGACGAGTCGCTAATGTGGTACCACCGGCCTTCGGAAATGCAAACCTTAGTTTTTCCCGTCTCTCGTACCGCATCCTTTTGAGCAGCTGCTTTTGAATCAGCCGTACCTTAAAAAAAAAGGGAGAAAAATCAATAAAAAGCGCAAAATAAAAATTAACGAAAATCTGGGTGTAAGTGGATCAAACATACCTTAAACATGATATATAAAGAAGATTGAACTTAGTAAACTTAGCTGAACACACTGGTGAAAGAACGAGCTACGCCGCTACGACGTAGGTCCTTAATAAATCATTTTGACCTGATCTTAGTATAACGATGAATGGTTGTTAATGTATTAATTTAAATATTATAACGGTACATTATTGAACTTGTTAAGCATCGATCCAAAATATCATGCATTTTTGCGCTATCTGTATTATGTTGTGTACGTTTTTTCATTACTATTGTCATTACTTCTATTACTACTATTATTATATATTGTTCTGACATGTATCTATTTTATTCGATCTATACCACTAAAAGTCTGTCTGCATTTGTCTGCTTGTTTGTCGAACTCAAGACGACCCCTTAAGGTCGTGGCCTTGGCTGGATTTGTAGTTCGCTAGAATTTTGTCCTACTAAGTAGTGTGCGGAAAATGGAACCAATCAGCCAAACAGTTGTTTTCAAAAATTTGCTTTTCTCGTAGGCCATGATGCTAATTTGGTTGGTGGTAAACCACGGCAGCAACTTTTCTCATTTTGCATGTTTGAAAACAATGCCTCATCATCATTTATAAATACCAACGCGACCGCCAGCATCGTCCGCACTGATGTCTCATCAGTGAAAACTGTGTCGCATGAACAAATCTGCTCAGCTTGTCTTGCATTAAAAATGTGTTTAAACTATCTTGTAGAAGGAACTATTAGGTTATAGCCATTAGGGAATAGGTGGGCAGTCTCTGATGTTATTATAAATATGATTACCCTAACATAGACAAGAACGTGTCTAATAGAAAACAAGGTGCGGGGTGAAGCGCTCTATTTAATACTCGTTTGTTCTTGTACCATTTTGCAACACTGATGGGGGCTGAGGGTACGCACTGGCTTGTTCATTTTCTGCTTCTGCTCGATCAGGTGTGTCCGACTCATGTGCAGTGGATAGAGTTCGCTCGGCCTGCTCACAGCGCCTGTGCATTTCTCTAATTAAATCGTCGAGTCCCATCTTGAGTGGGAGCGGTTGCAGAAATTTACAGCCTAGTCCTGTGTTTGGCCGCACCTTCACAAACGCCGTGTAGTGCCCCCCATGAAGGCCACCGGAATGCTCCACAATACCATACAGACTAGTAATCACGAAAAAAAAATCAAACAAAATGACTAATTTAAGTTTGTCTGGTTCACTAAAAAAAAGAATTTTTCTTTACGCAAAGTCCCGTGAATTTTTTTAGATAAGCTCAATTTAAGATCTACAAGGTAGCATTGGGACATTGACTAGTTTTTGTAAATGTAATGTTTGAAAGCGTATATTTGCAGATATATGGCGCCGATGGAGAGGGAAAATACAAAACAAAAAGAATAGTAGGTAAAAACTAGTTTAGCTTTAAAGCTTTTTCCAAATTTCAACAACGCCATGCTCTTTTGCCACAGTACAAGGCAATAGCTAAAAAATTATAGTCGATCGCCATTCTAGAGATGTTTAGTAAAGCGTTTTCGAATAAATGTCGACTCCTTATACTAAATCTTCGGGTATTTTTCTTCCCTAAAGTTCCCTGCTGGAGTCCATCATAATTAATGTCTGCCACACTGTAGCGGTTACATCTAGGTATTCTATGATGACCGATGTTCATGAGGCAAAACTGCACAGATTAAATCACAAATCAAGCAAGCTAAAAATGAAAGCTTTTGCTCGTACGCTTCATATACTTGATTATAAGAACTCTTAATAAATTTGGCCAACGAGGGTCCAACATACCTGTAGAGAATGCTAGTTTGGTCGGGTTGTATTGAAGGCAGATTAATGCATGCTTTACTGCAGTATGGAGCCAAATCAAGGATTTTCGGAAATGAGACACGCACCCCATTTTTCCTTAGACGCATGCCATCCTATAGAGAAAGAAATGAAACATTTGCAACCACACTGCTTCGCGGTAGTTCTTTAATAAAAGCCCAAGTCTGAAATACTTTCGAAACCTTAAAAACATCTAAGGAGAACTCTGTTTATCCTAGAATAGCCTATTTGTAGGCTTCATCGTATATATATATATATATATATATATTATAGGCACTATCCCGCCTGCCTATCTGCATTAGGTAATTACCTGCATAAATCTCTTCAGGTGAAAAGTAAGTACTGCCGGTGGGATAAGGATTAAGAGCTGCATCTTAGCGTCGTTATGGACGCGTTGCTTGGAGCCATCCTTATTTGGCTTGCCGTACGCCTCCGTGCAATGGTCACATCCGAACTGGTTCTTTCCGGTCAATAGTTCCTCGTCCGTAAACGCAGTGAGGCAAGACTCTAAAGAGTGATCTGTTGATAAGTTCCGAGGCACCATGGTTCTGTTGCCAAATGTTGACAGTGACTGTTCTTTCCAGACGTCCATATGTTCCCGAAGAAGCTCATCCTCTTCGCCGTCCGGGCACACTACATCAACGCCGCTATCTGTATTGCAACATAATTATAATTTTTACCAAATGCCAACGAATTCGTTAAGACCTGGATGTGGCATTGAACCTGCAAACTACTAGTGAACTGCTCAAAGCGAACTATCCTTTTATAGAAAGCACCATTCATTTACAAACCAGAAGCATGTTTCTAAACAAGAACTCGATGGACTCAAAACAATATCCCTGCATTTCACAAGAAGTGGCTACTGTATTTGGCTTCAAAAAACATTCGCATGCGTCTAATTCATTTACGCGGATATTTAGATATGTTTCGTCAAAAAGGATTGCTGCAATGATTTACGAATAGATATCTTTGGTGTAAGCGGTTGATCAGAGAAGTCTTGAGACATAACCGGTGTGTTGAGTGTTGTGAAAGCTGGAATAAAATGTTAGATAAGGTAACGCCTTGAAATGCCAGTAACAAAAACTGGATAAAAAAATGCATTACACTATCTCGAATGTTTTACTAACCGGATCCGTTGGTTTCGTCGCTGGCTCGTCTCCTCTGAGTTATCCCAATTTCACTTACTTTCGCCAAAATCGATTCATCAACTTCTGTGACATTGCTTTCCGCTGTGTCCGGGGGTTCTCGCTTCTGATTCTTTTCATCTTCGGTTTCGCGGTTGACTTTACTTCTGTCCTTCGGACTGCTGCTGTCTTCCCGCTCTGTGTCGTCATGTACGTCATGTACAGGCAAGTCAACGGGCACCGACTCGTCAAGATCTTTGTCCTTCTCACCATCTACCTCCTCGTTAGGCTGGTTCGTTTGGGCGGTCTCTTTTAATGTCGCAGTCGCAACAGTCCGCCCTTCATTGAGCTTTTGTTCCTTTAACTTACACATGCTGTTGTTGACGCTGCTATCTAGGTCGTCCTCAGCTGTACTTCCAGCACTGTCTTCTTTTACTGATGCGGTCTCACCATCATTAACGATTGCAGGACTGTTTTCACGAGACCGCGAGGCATCCTGTGCTTCATTCTTCGTCATGTTTTGCTGCTGTCTTCGCTGCTACAAAAGCAGCACGCCAAACAATACAGACCTCGGTTGAAACAAATTATGTCGGATGCTAGCATTTCTATTTGTTGTCCACTGGCATTAACTGCCACTAGTAAAACTGTCAGAATGACCCCTCTCCATGTGACACCAAGATACATGCTTGTTTTAGAATGACTACGCTTTTAAGAATAAATTTTGCGCATATATCACATTAACGTATATATGACACGCCGGGCTGATGCTGATGGGAATAATATATTTGGAACCTACCTTCTTTTTTGCCTTCTTATTATTTAACTTCAGTTTATTTAGTGATGCGCCCTTCTTCGTGCCATATTTCTCCTCGAGCTCGTCCATTATAGGGTCCGGCTTGCGCTGAGCTGGTGCAGGCATTTTTACTGGTCGAGGGGTCGCAATCGACAAAGATATATCAACAAACGGTTCGAAGTTCTGTGAGGACTTACGACATTTTAGACAAAGGATCGTGTTGATCAGAAGACCACCAAAAATGGTCTCGAGAAACGTATGATGGGTCTGCTTCTTATAAGCATCAATTTGTGTACGCAAATACGGTTTGACACTCTGAAATAACATGTTCGCAATGTTACACACTTGATAGAAGAAAAATGCCAAGTGTTATTTTTACCAAAAAAGTCAAACTCAGTAAATTCATTTGTATATAAGGACGTTGTTGCTATATTCAGTTCATATATATAGTTCAATGAACAATGAAGTCATGAATGCGAGGATAACACCACAGTGTCTTACAGCCTGTTTGCACCAATATGCAGGACCACATGCCAGTATTCCTACATTGGTCCCTAGTAGCTGCTTCCTTGTAGACCAATACAATTAAACATAATTTTTTTTGTTTTCTTTAATACATTTTTTCAATATACTTTTAGATGTTTATAGGGCTTTCTATAGCATTTTTGTAAAAGCAACTTACATCAGGATTGACGTTTTTTTTTAGTCCAAAGTGGCTGAGTATGGTCCGCTTCATACGCTTACTTTCTTCACTGAAGACGCCATCGAAGAGGTGCCGAAGCAACTCGTGGCTATCCTGTTGTGCGAAGCCACGAAACTGTGGAGATTTCTGGCATATATGGCCAAACAAATCGCTAGGACATAGAGTCAGCTGACTTGACCGGTTTCGAAAGAAGTGAAAGAAATCTGCTAAAGCAGAAGTAAGCTCCCCAGCCTCGTGTAGCTTGAGCTCGAGCGTTTTCATGTCCTAAAGTTAACAGATGTAATTAACCACGAGGTTGGCAATAATCAATCGTCATTATGACAGACATAATCTAAGTAACATTAGATCTAAATTGGCGCAAAGTATCGCATCCGATTTCAGTTAGCATAGCTTGTTGCACTCAATACGACAAAAACTTTTGGCAGTTTATTTCGCAGAACTTTTAATATGTTCACTATACGTCAGCTTTGCGGTATACATGCCAATTTGGGATACAACTACAATACTGATCTTGGTACCATTGCATTGATCTTTCAATATAATGACATACTCTTATAACGGACTTCTTCCCCATTGGCTGAACTGTCCACAGGACTCCCCCTGGACTGTTTCTCGCTGCCGCGATGCATGCATCTGTCAACAGATGCGTTTGAGCAAGATTCTGCATGACCGAGTTAAAGAAACACGTGTTGCCGAGGTTTTGGAGACCCTTAGGCCGTTGCAACTCTTCCGTGTCACTAAGAGTAACCTTTACATTGACGTCGCTAAGAGGCGTGCTTTCCTCGCTGGACGGGCTAGGCAAACTTGCATCGAAAGTTGATTTGTCCCTTTTCGAATTTGATTCTGTTTCTGAACCAAAGAACGGAGGCAACAAAGAAATATCAAAATCTCTGTATATGGCAAATATGCGACGGTATATAGCGGTTCTTAAAAAAAAAGGAATTTTTTTCACTTCCAGGTGTCATACAAAGATTGGCATAGTTTACAATGTATTGACTCTTAATCCATAACTTCACAATGGCATTAATCCAAATATATTGCTACATATTTCTTTTACGACTCTTTGTTTCTATGTCATAAGCATACAGTTAAATTTCAACTGAGCTCTATGGTAGCAATGCAGATCGAATATCACTTACTGACTGTAGCGACTCGTCGGAAATCTTTGAGATTATTTCGTTTCTTGTTAGAGCACTCCTGTGGTGGCTGACCAGTTTTGTACCCTTCCAGCTGTTTACTTTTGGTGCTTTGGAGCCCCTTTATTGCTTGATCCAGACTCTCTGTTTGTTGTGGGTTCAAGTATTCATTGCATTTGTAACACCACACCTGCCACGTGACACAGTTCACAGCAATGTCGTGCGAATCCGAATAGGATGCGTTTTGGTGCTTTACTGCATGTTGGTTCTTACTGTACCTGTGCAACCACAACCGATAATTGCTATTGTCAAAATTCTAGTTAAAGATTAAATGTAATAATGTTAGATACGCGTAGTTCTGATTGGCTGTACTTATATATTCATTGTAACAGAACTGAATGACCTTTGCGACCATCCGTTCTGAAGAGAGCAGACGTCGGATCATCGACACTGTCCCCTGTGATGTTTGTTAGTACCGATGCATTCATGTACTATTTCGTTCAAGTAATTAATAGATCTGAAACGCCCTAGCAATAAAATGCGTTCATTGACACCTCTGTTCATTTACCTAGAGCAGCCGCGGTTGGCACATTGCAGACAAATCCAAATCGCATCTGCAGCGTTCTCATCTGTCATTGAAGCTATCGTAGACGTTATGCCTGTAATCGCCGTTGTCGGTCCGTTCTCCTTGTTGTCTGAATCAACTTTATTTTCTTTAATCTCCTCCACTTCTTTTTCCCTGCCGTCTTGCTCTTTCTCACATTGCTTGCAAGCGCTTAAGTCACCGAGTTCGCCAGATGTCCAGGCTTTGCGGAGTCTATTTATGCACAGGGCTTTTCCGAGGTGAGGGCATTTCGGCGCTGAAATCACAAATGACAATAGGGAATTATAACCAGTAATCGTCTTACAACGTTGAAAGATTTGCTGGACTATTTTCAAGTACGAAATTTATCGTTTGCAGACGACAGCATTAAACTTAACCCTTTCTCATGAAACTTGATGAAAATTTGCTGACTTTCTTTGGGGTTATTTTCAAATAAATGTAAAAAACATCGAATGTCCGTTCGATTGAATGGACATATAGGTGCCATTATCTTATATAGAAGTGCTCAGCTCGCAGCATAATTATAAAGCTTAGTCTTTTAATATCGTTATGCAAACTGTACTAGAAATCACACGGGATTTGCGATCGCAAAATCCAGCCCGCTTCCACAGTAATCATTTACGGCTCGGTGCCCTGTAGGGACTGCACATGTGCTAGCAAAGCTAGTGTTACCATAGATACCTAATTTAGAGGTCCAAATTAGTTTTATTTGCAAATACGGGTAGAATCGCTCCCATTTTTCCTGTGGGGTACCAAACTAACAAAAATAGATGCAGGGTATAAATTTACAACCAGCAATTGTGAAGTCTACTTCTGTGCAGATGTTGTTTTAGGACAAATAATAAATACAAAAAACTACATAGGCATCAGTTTCTCGTGCAATGTCTACAAGGTTAATAGCGAAGTGCCACTCAATAACAACAATGCCGACACATGTTTAGATGCCGATACATGGGCATAACTTACCTGCCTAAATTTGCAGAGTTTAGCCAAAAGTTATTTGTGGCGATCATTAATAGTACAGTACAGAGATAAGGCGAAATGAGATCCTACAATTGTCAAAACATAGGCCATTGTCTCGGAAATAGACTACATAGTCGTACAGTGTCTGTGTAGTTCTTTTGAATACTTATACAATTGTTGCCGAACTTTTTGTATATTAAAGTTCACAAATCATGCTCATTATCTTGTAAGTAAAAGGTTATCTTCTGTAATTATTAAAGTACGTGAATTATGTTCGTTGCCGACGTGCGCCGCTTATAAAATATATGCTTGCTCTTATGGTGTATAACATCAACAAGGTAATCTCCGGGCGTTAAATCGAAACAACTGATTATTTAGCGAAGCTTCGTTGCAAGCACGTGGACTAGACGCTCAGAGCATTCTGTAACGTAAGCTTGAAATCTTCAAACATACACTCGAACCACTACGAAAAATGAGCAGTGAGAATTTAGGATCATGCTAACTGACGCTCAAATTAGCATATTCGTTTTTACGTACATCTAAATCTGATACGACAACCTGATTTTTTTTGCATCGTTCTCCAATCGCTTGCTGTCTATTAAAACATTATGAATAGAACTGGTCACGCTGGATAAACAGCAAATTGGACATATAAGTAATGCATTGTCTGCGTCTTCACTTGCATCCGTATTCCTTGCGTGGTTTGCCATTTCAGTAGTTCAGTATCTAAACAGGTTTCTGTGCAGATTGTTTAGCTTAGTGTAAATTGCATTTTTTTAATTAAAATATTGTACAATTACATATCTGCTATTTTTATGTTACTGACAGCATCATTCGTCTCAAATTACGCCTCCAGGTGTTGGGTGTTTGAACAACTGAGACGAAATGCCAGTAGGAAAAATTAATTTTCTTTTACATAACCAGCTAGTATTACGTCATCGTCGTTTTCGAGTGGAATTACCACTATATATAACCCTGTGGAAACAACTCAGACCCCTTATTAAACTATATTATAAGGGGTCTGAGTGTCTATATATTCCGTGTGGGACTAACACAACGCAAACACGTTTCTTTTCTTGAGTTTAATAGAATCGCCACTGGCATTCCGCGAAGGTCATTGTTGAAGTTTAGAGATCACCGAGTAGTAAAATGATCACTCACAGATGTACTACTAACCAATTTCAAGTTCAGGAGGCCTTTCTTCGACTCCACGCGTGTCCTGGTCGCTGTGACGTCGATTCTTTTTCACCATCGTGACCCTCGCGCAATAATGATTTCACAAAACTACATGGACAGGATGACAATTAGAGCTCGTATAGAAGAATACACTTACGCAACGGCCATTCTATGTTGTTGACGGTGATGCCAGCACTATTTACACATGCTTACAATTAGCGCATACATTCGTTTCCACAACAACGGGCAGATATACAGTATTTCGGCAGCGAATTGCTTCAGCCCACACTCACAGTCAGCAATCACAGCACCTGCGTATCCACCGCATAACACTGAACGCCGCGGAGTAGTGGTCGGTTCGTCCAGCGGCCCGCCTGACTCCTGGCTTCTCTACGCCACTCGAAATTATTGCGGCTGTATATACCACGCAAAAGTAATAAGCTTCTTTATATCGGAAATGGTCTTTTTGCTTTGCCGCACCTGTTGTTGATGTTAATTGCTTAAATGACAAAACCGAGTTGTTATGCAGAACCGGCGGAAATAAGAACTGTGTGGCTGCCGAACGACGAACAAATCCAACAATGAACACTCCATCTAGCAATTGAAACCCGCCGGCCACTCAGTCAATTTCTCAGCCACCTAATCAACTAACCATGCATTTGTTGATGTGTGCTTGGCCTCTAAACCGCCAGGTGGCGCCCACGTGTTTGGCTTGCAACATTCAGCCTCGGCTGACCGATGGTGCCCCACTTAATTAGCTGTCCATTGTTTTATAGATCAGTCGAATTTCATCATAAAGTGTTTACACCAGAGACAGATGATGTACCAGGCTTCGAACCTGCAAAATAAAAATCCGAAATACGAAACGCGCCGTAATCATGGAAAATTCCTAGTCCAGCCAATCTACACGCGTCTAACTATGGGTGAAACTGGGTTATTGGATATTCGGAACCCGACTCTCACTCAGTTCTTGTGGTCGCTGACCCTCGCCGCCATCGACTCTCAGGTGATTGACGACGACGGTGACGAGTGTGAGGTTTCCCTAGCCCATTTTACTTTACCTGTACCTCTTTCAAGTCTCGGGAGGCCGGCCGTAGAAGCAGCTGCAAAATAGTAACGCCATCTGTAACAGTGTTAAGCATAACCTGTAGTGTGTAGCGTACTATGATCACAGCGTGCTGCAGTTGTCAGGAAGGCAAGATCTCCGTTACACATTGCTAGAGCCAGTGATACATGGATTGCTGCTGTTCCTCCTCTGTTACGTATAGACGATGTCGGCGTCATAACATTTGGTGACGGTGTTGAGGGAGCGTGATATTGCGTTAGGGGAGAGAGCGAAGAAGTCGAACGGGAATAAGAGCAATTCTTGCATCTTGTAAAACGGGATAAAAACGGTTAGTATTTTCGGCACCGTTAACGACCCAACGAGCAGAGAAAGCTGTCGTGACAGAGAAAGAATGAGCATGTGAGATGGGCAAATAAATGCGTTATTTTTCAAAATAGCCTTGTTTGTTTGTGGCTTCTTGCAGAATTTTATTTTTTTGATTGCTGCAAGCAAAGATGAAAAAATAAAATCTGATTTGTTTCGCGCATTTTCCCACGGCTACACAAGGAGATCTTTTCGCCTTCTGCTTTCATGCATATTCAAACAAGTACGATAGTATGAGTGCTTTGGGTTTATTTGAATGTGACACAGAGTCGAAGAAATTAAGAGTGACTTAAAATGGGTCTTTCATATACGGATTAAAAGCCACTAGCAAACAGCAATTCATGCCGAGAGTGCAGCATAACATAGTAACTTGAGATTTATTTTTGACGAATTTATTATATTGTCTAGTAACAAAATAATGAAAAACTGATTTCGTGTTACACAGTCCACATATTCTATATAAGAAGTATCATCAATTTACCTTTCTCTGTTCAAGAAAATGTTACTTTTTTTTATTTCGTTTAGATAGCAGGATTGTGTCGTGTTTGTAACAGTTATCTTACAGTGTCCAATTCGATTTGTTGCTTACAAGGATAAAATTACAGCGAACTCACTTGTATGGAGATGATTATCCTAGTCACCCTTTATATAGCATGGTGGAACGTAGTATTATCGAACGTTTAGTTGATTTTAGAAAGACGGATTCAAATAATAACTCTGACCTATACTCGAATAAAAGTTACCTCAGTATCACAACATTCACAGTAATTGCAAGTTTAAATTTGTACTTACACAAGTGATATCTGATACAAAACAGGTTAGAGTATTCTACGAATCGATTCGAATACAAACATTTAGTATAATCTCCTAATACTTGGTGCCAACAATCACTGAATATTACGGAAATTACTTTTTTGGGAAATGTTGAGAATAGATTAAAGCTTCACCTTGATCTTGAATTTTTTCTACGTTTTCATTTCTTGCCTCGCGCAAAAGATAACTCTTACCGAGTTTCGGCGCTTAAGCTCATAATGCGAAAGTAATGCCAATTGGTCATATATGACTTTCACTATGAGGGTCATTGCGGTTAATAACTTGAAGAAGCTACCTAGAAAGTCGCTACGTTTTATTTACTCTGTTGCTCCAAGATGAAGTCTACCTCTGCATAACAGGTCCGCAATTTACAACGAGAAAAATTGAAGCCCGTCTAAGAAAGCAATGGGAAGGAGCATATAACAGGGAAGCAATCAGTCGGGTATATGTTTAGAGGTTTAGTTTACCCGAAACCGAGCGATATTCTTGATCCATTCTTCGCGCTCCTCCACTTGTTTTTCGAAACGCCGCAGAACCTTCGAATCGGCCTTTCTCATTTTCTTATTATTATTATTACTTTTTTTTTTGAACCTCGAACTTATAAAAGAAGTTCGAGATTCAAAATTCGCAAACTTGCTTGCGAAACAGCTTTTAAGCTCATCGACGGTATTACTTTTTTCCGAGACAGCCGCAGGTCGAATCTGAATTCAATAAAAAACGCGTCCATGAAATCCGCCATTTGTGTACCCAGCTTCCTCTACGTTCAATATATCGAGCAAAAAGATTTCATAAAATGCGAACGTAATGCGAACATTTAGAACTTATTTCGTAGCTGTATTTCTGTCTGACAAACATGGGGGGGAGCTATCTGACTATAAGGCGTGTTTTCTTTGTCCTTCGTTTGAGGCCTTGCGACGTCATCATGCGTTTCAATGCTCGTAAATCAATGGCGCCCGATCGATGGTAAAGAGTCAACAATCGTCTCTTGTTGCAGCCTTCAGGCGTGCAACTCATGACCTAACTAAAATTGTCCATTATGCGCAAGTTTTTTGCAAACACCGGACAAAGATATTACATTGCAGAAGAGCGATGTCTATCTAAAAAAGTGGAGTTGCTAAACCAATAAGAGAATAAGGACTCTACGAAAAACAGGGTATGTAAATCTAATTGATTCATTGGAATCTATTGAGGTTATAAAGTATCTATAAATTTAATTGTCGTCTATGTTTCATTCATATATGGGAGTTTGCTGTGATTATATAAACTAATGATTATACAAGCTTAATATTTTTTTTTGTTCTGTTGAATGCATATTAGTTTGGCGAAAAGGCGCAGAGATGAAATTGAATTTTGGTTTAGAGAATGCAAATCAAGTGTTCTCATCGAGTACCAGTGGACTTACATTAGCTCGTTCAAAGACAGAATTGTGATATTAATTTAAATAATCACTTAACCTGAAAGTAACAACAACTTGTTTGTAGAACGATATGAGGATTTCGGTTCCGGAATGTACTGCTTTCTGTTTAGAGAATAAACAACATTGAACTGTAATGGAGACTTTTTCCATGGTCAAATCTACAAGGGATCTAAATATCATTGTAACACTTACATTAAGGCTTAACATTAAAAAAATAGTATATCACCCTTTTTTGAAGTCGAGCTTCAGCAAAATACACATAATGCTGTTAAGTCTAGCGGCTTCAGCTTGGAAGTTAAACAATATTGGCGAAGAAGTCATAATCCTTGCTTCTATCTCAGTTTTTCACAATAATGGGATAAGCTTTTTGACCATATCTAAAAATATAATATTGTTCTTAAACATTTTATTCTGCACCCAAATAGTCTCAGGAGCGGGCTGGCAATAATATTTGTTGAAACAGCTAAGATCGAAGGAAGTAATAGGTTTAAAAGGAGACTATATAGAAGCTTAGGCAAGAATGATTTACTCACTGAAAAAAATGTATGCATTTATATAAATTGTATCAACCAAAATGGCGTATCGCACTTTTTTCGAGTTAGCATTGCAATATTTGAATTGATTTAACACACATTTAAAGTAAGACCGAGCTTTCGCTTAGATTATATTTTATCATACAGATGCTTAGTGCCGCTGTACAGTCGTAGCACAATATACTTTAAAAGAATGTTAGAATATTTGATCGCGCTAAGAGATTATCCGGATGTTTACCGGTGCTATAGGAACAGATTGTTGATGTTTGTATCCAATTAATGGACCGTTGGTTATGGTATAAATAGTAGTCTCTAGCAGCATTTGTATAAAGCGCAATGTTAAAGCTCAGACGTTTATAGGACTCAGAGGACGCTTACTATTTTTTCTTATACTTAATATATCTAAGTGTCATAGTTCATTTAAAAATTTCGCTTACTGTTTATTAGTTTACCTGTAAACACTATTGATAAAACGAGTAAAATAAATATCAGCTGAAAGCAACGAGCGTTATTCTATTTCTGCCCCTATTCTAAGTGTACGACCTAAATTACGTATGTAGTAAAAACACTTCGTCCAATGACAGCTGTTTAACTATTACTGTTGATTTCAATATAGTTTTAAATGACACAAATATTATACAAATGACTAATGAATGGTACTCCAATTTTTCAAAGGCATTTACAGCTTGATTGTTTTCGAATACAGAGTTGAAGTTTATCCATATAAAGCCAATGCTATCAATTTCTCAACCAAACCTTTTCACGAATTCGTGTATTTTTTCGAGAAATACTAGCTTATTTGGTTGATTAAATGGTTATGTATTGAATAGATGTAACATTCAGCAGACACAAACCAGTGAGAACACGTCCAGCACGGCAACTAGTGAGATAAGCAAAATGTTAGTAAACAAGCAGTAAGGACGTGGCTTAAACCTACGGCCTGTTTCCGACCTATCCTACTCGTTAACTAGTACGATAGTAATATCATGCACTGGGATAATTTATAGAGGTTTTTCTTTTGTTGAAAAGAACATTCTCATCTATTCATCTAATGGCAAATAATAGACATTTTACATTTCATAACACAAATTGCATAGTGGAAATTGCAAAAAATAGTACTAGAAAAAAGGAGCACTTTCAATACAATATATATAGTATGTCACGCGGATCGGTTGTATGGTTTAGGCCCTTGTATTCGCTAGTCTGTTCTACAAAGAAATGCAACTCATATATTATGAGAAGTTATGCTCAGACACCTTACACTGATATCATATAACAGGTCTTAACAACTAAAGTTGCTCTTCATATTACTATAATTAATTAGATTGATAATTAGATGCTTGAAACGCGTACATGCTCGAACAGTCCGTCTCTGTTATTCATATGATCGTTTTTTTGGCCAAATAAAAGTTATATTATACTGTAGAATTGCAGCAGGATGTTGCAATTGTCCAGAATCCTCAATCATATATTGGTTATGTCGTATCTAGTTTTAGTAATAATCTATTTCTTTGTGACGGAGGGATGTGTTTCACGATACAGGAGGCTAAACTTGGTTCACAGAATTAACTGTTAAAGTGTTAAGCTTTTGACATCTCATATTTGCTTCGCGTAAATTAATCCTTCAAATAGATCTCACTTGTGGCAAGGTAGTCAGTCTTTTTTACTTGTTTTAATATACTCTAGTTAATTCAATTTCTCAAAACTGTTATATTTCCTATAATTTTTCAGAACACCGTGTCTTTAGTCATCGCTTAGTTATCAGAAATCTCGGCATGGCGCCGACCAGATAATATTTGAGGCCTGACAACGTCGATTTCACTCCTTGATCGAGCAGGGGCAGAGCTCATGATCCCGTTGCGGTGGGGGCGTGTAGTGCGCCGAGGAGGTGCAAGGGGTTTTGCCCGAATAGGATTTAGAATAGCCGAATTAGGACCCCTAGCCATTATGCTAGCTGTTATACCTCTACAAGTCTTCGTTTCCTACAAACTCTCCAAAAACATGGACCGCAAAGCTTCCATGGAAGAGTAAGTCGCGGAACAGTTATGGTATATATTATAAGATGAATACGAGTAAACTAGTTTGTTTTTTAATTTCAGACAACCTTATGCTGCTTTATCTTCAATGAGTGCTCATATGCATTGAGCAATATTGACTATGAAACTTTTGTTCATATATAAATATATAACATAACAAAGGCAATATGCCTATGGCAAAGGTAACGGCGAAACACACACAACAAGCAACACCTTGTTGCTTATTGGTGCGACATTGTTGTCATTGTCACTAATAATAGCAACATAAATTCTCATTACCTTAGTGAATCGAATGGTTGAGAAACAAAACATGAGAACCGGCAAGCTGACTGACCCTTACACACATATACTTGATCTACTCAACGATTTTTTGCTGCCGCTTACTGGAATGATGTAATCTTATTTGACATCCTTAAGGGAAAAGAGATCCATACGACCCATCTTTACAGAGGGCGTTCGGAAGAGAAAACTGCTACGCTAAGTTTCTTGCCCATTTTATCATATCGCATCGACAAAGATTACTCGGAGCTTGTACATGTATCTTTATTGAACAGCATGGATTCCGCACAAAACGCTTCAACCTTAGGCCACGAAACATACATTTCCCGAGAGCGCACCGTGTGTCATCCGCTAAAGCAGGCGCTCCGCGCTGTGCCTGTTAGGGTCTCAAAACTCTTCTAGCGTAGGTGGCGGAATATTCTAGTTTCAACCTTTTGTTGAGTCAACTGACATCCCAGAAGGTGATAACCTGAATCCAGTCGTTCTTTTTTTGCTGCTTAAGGATCTGGTCCTCCGCATTTAAGATCCAGTAGGACACGTAAAAGAGCTGGTTTGCGCCGATGAACTTATCCTATTTGGAAAGGATTAGCTTCACGCCCAGCAATATCTCGCAAGGTTCTTTATTTAAATGATATGGTACTCGTGATCAACATAAGCAAGGAGGTCGCAAAGGCCGCCTCGTTGTTATCGCCGTACTCGATATAGGACGAACGGCTCTGATGTATCTAATCACCTTGAAGTATCTAGGTATAATTTTACTTACAAGCAGCCGAATGTACAAACAGCAAACCGCATCAGAAGCACAGCATGGCATGTGGTGGCGAGTGTGGAAATACCAACTTTCTCCAAACTTTCCTTACAAACGGCGCCAGCCCTGTTTGACATTAAGGTGGGTTAAGTACCTTTCTTCAGAACTGTGGATTATGTGAGAACACCTCTGCTTGGCACAGTTAAAAAAAAGCTTAACAAATTACCCTTTATTTCTAAAACGCTCTATGAGACTACATGCCATATCATAGAACAGATACGTGTGCCTCTTAAGGCAGCTATTTGCACCGAATCTGGCATGCAAACGTTGCACTATTTCCGCTTATTTAGAATCTATCTCCACAAAAAGATGGCGGAGATCGATCCCGACTTCTACAACAGGAGAAGGCATGACTCATGAAATATGGAAAAAGACAAAAAGGGAACCAACCGATACATAAATACGCACTTCGCAGGTACATGAGTTTCACTGCATCCTATGTGGTACGCAGGGTTTTCATTTGCCAGGCGCTACGTGCGTTTGCACAAGATTTGGTGAAATATGCCTGAAGTGCCATGTGGCGTCATGTATTGCAGCAACTTCGCTGAACGGTCTTTCAAGCCGGGCCATTAATCTTGAAATGTTCATACATTCACGTAGTGAAACAGCGTTTATGTACGCATAGAAAAACATTTGTATTTCTAAGTTGTTCAGTCACCGTTTGTCAGCTCATAGCATTTCTCTAAATGGCGGTGCTTTGAATCATGTCTACTGTTTCGTAGGTTGTTTGAAGCAACTTAAATTATGTATATTCTAGGGAAGCTGTCAGAGTTTTCGATGTATACTAAAAGTAAAATATCTAGCTGTTTTAACAGAAGTTTAACTTTTCAGTAGGCATTCGTTCCTGAGTACAGTAAAAATGTGATTTCCAGTTTCCACGTGTAAGCTTTTTATATAGGCGGAAACCATGATTTTTGAGAAATGATCAGTCGCGGCTCAATATTAAATAAGGGGACAGGGAACAAAAATTAACGAACTTGATCTGACCTATCCTGATTTCAACGTTCAGGCGTTTTTCAGCTCGTCTATTTACGGACCACTTTACCACGTGGCTTTCATTGGAGCTGTGGCGTCAGCTACACGTTCAGCGAGTGCGGATGGGTCTCATAGGGGATGTGTCGCCACGCAGACTCTATCCAGACATCCCTGACCCGAAGGGTGAATGTCCTGCAGTTGAAGTGATGCGATTCCGCCATCCCCAAGGTTATTATGCTATGTCACATGTGCCACGCGGAAACAGGTTCGTTGACCAGTACGTTGCAGTAGTTGATTATTTTATCAATTATATAATAATACTGATAAAGTATAAATAGCTGTACGCCCTTGGTTAATTACGCCTAGTCACCAAGTGTTCAGAAAGCAATAAAACAAAGAAGATGGTATGTTCAAGTAGTATAATCTGTTCAAAACGTTCAAAAAGAAGGTCTGTTAAAAAGTATAATATAGAATTTATTTCTGCAATAACTGTCTCAGATAAGCCGGGGAAGAATAATTCACATGACATTAGTTAACGTTCGCCCAGTGTTCTTTTTCTTTTTGGCAGAAATGGCGTACTTTTCCGCGTAGGCAACATTGTCCAGCACCGAATTACGGGCTATCGTGGAGTTGTAGTTGGATGGGACTTACGAGCTCGTGCACCACACGATTGGTTTAAGGCGCATTACGAGCCAGACAACGTAAGACCTGTGTGAGAGCGTAGTATCTTATTATAGTTTTCCGCCTATGGGACTGTAACTCACAACCTTCCAGATATCTAATAAAAATATAAGCAAGAAATTGAAAACTACATTATCTGTTATTCATATGCGGTATTCAAATAGGTACTAGCTGCACATATTCGGTCGGAACCCCACTACGCTGTTCTAGTCGATATCCGGGATCGATCACCACCTCAGATGGTGTACGTGCCCCAGCATTTGCTCATCCGATACCAGCTACCGCAGATAGCTGCCTCTACGCCGCGGGCTGCGTTTGAGCAGGTATTTATTTAGGTGTTTCTCTTTCGTATACTTGTATCTAATACAGCCAATTAAGGCTGCTATTCCAATTTGCAACTAGCTAATTTATCAACATTGTCCTAACAGAACTTAGCGAATCTTATTATCGTGATGAATGCAATAGTTGCAGTCGGAAGGTTCGAACATAATATGAAACATTTTTTGCAACGATAACGCCACTAAAGCTTGCACTAGTATCTATAAATGACTACTTTTTCGTTTCTTATGCCTTCTCTTCTTACTAAAACGCATTTGTTTATGTCGCTTTTTTTCAAAAGGTTGTTCACCCAGTGCTAGAGGATTACTTCGTTGACTTCAATGGACTCAACTACGTTCCTCGACCTTGGCTCAGGGCACTTTATCCTCGTGACTAGCAGTTTATGTAGGTCTTAAGCCGTGACCTACGAATAAATAAAGACGGCAAGACAGACATGCTCATTGAAGGAAGTTACGTAGTTAAAGGAGCAGCACAACAAAGATACCAAAAACCAGAAATAAATCGCCAGCGGGCTATTATCTTCCTTGGGTCTGCGTAATGATTAAGCGAAATTTCCACAGATGAAGGAAAAAGGAGTCACCAACCTCTCGTACCACAAGCCCATTAAACTATTATAATATAACTGAATAATATGCAGTGCTGTAATTGTCTAATACTTATAAGTGTTGTGCGTGGAACTGAAAGCTATTTATTATAAGGCACAATGTGTCGAGTGAATCTTTGCGTTTAAAAGAGAAGGAACTTCAAAAAACGTTCAATTTTTTTATCTTGTTATTTTTGTGTGGGCTTATACAGGAGTACCGAGAAAACGAATAGCGTGGGTGCAGTTTTTGTTAAAGGGAGGGCATTATAATAATAATGGCTTTATTAAGAATAGTTGTGACCGTTGGTCTCACGGTGTGGATTATTCTCAGTCATCAGTTAGCCAATTTTACTAATCGAGGTGACAAAGCAATGAAACAAGACGAAAATGAAGCATTGAGCTTTTGAAGACACTGATAGGAAAGAGTAGGCTTTTACATCAAACAGCTAATCAACTGTACAGCTGTATATTAGACTAATGTATAAGCTACTAGAGCACAGTATAGCCGACTCAAAATATAACAAAAATATAAAAATTTCATAAAACCATTTAAAAACTGATTATTCATCTGAGTCTTCACTACTACGGGGAACTATTATCTACAAGCCTCGTCCCTGCTTTGTCATGTTGGCCAGGATCTGCAGCAACAGACAGCTTCGTATTCGGCAAACATTTAGCTAGAGAATCAGGTATAAGGTGCGGTGACCTAATGCGTAGGTAGATCTACAACTACGTGACAGATAGAATTGGGATATGATCTAGCAGATCTAAACATTGGTCAGGTGAAAGGTTTAACAGTGCTAAGCAGTAAAAATCAAGTTCACCAGATTATTATTACTATTAATGAGCACATTTCTTTTTTTTTATACATTATTAGGGTTAAGTTAAACACATTGTTTTTGCAATTTCTATTAAGAACGTTACACAGATTTGTTAATCTTAATGTGACAAATCATTACAACTAAATCTGCCAACAGTCTTATCAAATTACCTTTATAGGATGGCATTCATTGACACTTTGACAAGTGAAACGGATCGCAAAAATGTCATGTTCATCATAGAGATTGTAACCACTTTCCATTAAACGCCTGTTTATGACATCCGCCAATAAAACTTTTTAGTAAAACAAAGTTGCCTTTTTGCTTCAAGATAGACATTTTAAAATAATCAACTTTATTCGTATGTTACCCTGCGAAGTTTTACAAGTTACTTGTTGGCTTCGTATGATTGCGAATCTATTCGTAAATGTACATATTCGGCTGTTAACTCGACGTTTAGGCCCCAGTAAGCGACTCCGGTAAACCAAGAGATTTGCGGACTAAGTGACTCGCAATCCGGTTGAACTGGTCTCGGTCCTCGCGCCACATTTTCGCAGCATCGACATTCGCTCCTGATTCGACGTTGGGTTCCGCCAACATCGACACAACAGAAAGCAAGATTTTCTCGACAGACTGGACTGGACTCCAACGTTCCGAAGATGACTCGTATCCCATCGGATCTTCGCCTTTGGAAAAATCGCAGTGTTGAAACAGTGACAACAAAACGGATTAATACAGCAAGGACTGTTGGTCCTTATACTTTTTGTATGGATTTGCTTCTTTTCTATGCATACAAACCATGCATCACTATTAAAATGGACCGTGGTTGATTATCACATTTGAACTTTAAACTATGAGTACTTGCCATAGGTTGTCACGCGAGAAATGAAATGAAGTCAACATACCTGGGGCGTGTAGTATGGATATGCATACCCGTCCGTCAGGGTAAATATTTGGATGGTACATTTCGCAGGTAAACTGCATCTTGGGCGGTGCAAGCGGGTAGTCCGGAGGAAAGGTCAGCTTCGCAGGGAATACTCCACCCTCAAAACATGTTCCTTCAGGTCCTGTGATCATGGCCTCCCATTCAAAAAAGTTCTCCTCATTGATTGGTCCTAGAAAAAACATGGCACCCGCCACCAAAAGTATATGAATTGTCCTTATATGTCTAAAAAGTTCAATGCTTATTGGTAATATCTTTTGGACTCCTATCTGTCAAGTCACATAGATCAACGACAAACGATAAATTTAATAGAAAAGTAGAGTTAGATTCTTGAAACTCCCTAATAAATCCCCATCAAAGAAACTCGATTTTAGATAAAACAAGACACAAAACAGTTTTTGCAGTTTGTGCATTAGAATTTTAATATCCTCGCTACACGGCCTTTGAAGTCATCAAAGAGATTTTTGTTGAAAATACATACTTTATTTCTAGTAGGAGTTGTGAGTAGTAATTTAAGGACTGTACTTCTATAAAATAAATGGTTGCTTTGTTAACATTTAGGTTAATAACACACAATGCATATCTTTCGGTTCATTGACCAGACGCCATACGAGCTGCACCTAAATAGTGAGGTTTTTTAGTTAAGTCGAGTATTGTAAAGGAAAGTTGCGTTATTATGTAAAGTTTAGCATAAAGTTGATACTAAATTCCTGCGTATTATAAGAAAATTGTGATACTAAAATATTTGAACAAGTATTGCAAAGTAGCAGGTCATATGTAAGCATCATACAAAACATATCAACATTCACGCTATATAGTCTTATTATATTAGCTTTTTTAGTTAAACCTTTAGCTAGTGTCTGGGAACGTTAAATTAGATACTTGATTTTCATATGTAAATAAAAAGCGCAACCAAAATCTATCTGCCCTTAGAACTAATTCGATGCAAAAACAATGTTTCGTCTTGATTTTTCCCAAACATATTTAACCTTTAAACTTTAGTACCATTGCGTCAATGTCAGTCAGCGACAACATAGTAAAACTAAATTCGTTTAGTATTAAACTTCCAGCACAAGAGTTAACATACAAAAAAAATTATCAACAAACGAATTTACTGGTCCCTTTATGTTGCGTCGTAGCCTTTGTATGCATGATAGCCAAGTCCGTCAAGACGCGTATGCTAAGAATTCATCACGAAAGGTGTAAGTGAATAAGTTTATTCACAATATCCACACCCAGTTTTGTCCATACGATACGCGTACGCATTCTTTATTTATGTACATCAATCTCACTACTACCGCAGTTATAATAAATATTCTATCTACTTAATAAATATTTTACATAAGGACTACATAGAACTTTATAGCTTTTTAATGTTCTACCGAATTAAATCCTATAGTTTTTTCGTCATTTCTGTCTTTTCCTTCCATTTGCTTCTTCACTTTCTATACCTTTTTATTTTTCGTTTTAGGTTTTAACTTACACACCGCAGTCACATGGAAAATTGACTACTGGAATACATTTATACTGTTTCAGCTCCAGCAAAATACCGTACAGTCACAGTTTTTTTCTCGTCTTGCTTCCTGACACATACACTATTTGTGCTACGCTTCATTTATACAGATTTTACGTCCATGTGTATACACTTCAAATTATCACCAAAATTTCTCAAAACGGTGAAACTATGCCCTCTCAAAAACCAGTTCAAGGCAGCTTCAATTTCAAAGAAACTAAACTGATAAATATTTGATTTTGTTCAAGATTTGTGAAGAAATTTCTTTAGAATATTACTACTATAATTGGATTCTATTCAAAATACCCCAGCCGAACTCGTTTTTTAGCGGCAATCTCGTCAACAGAGTTTTCGACATCCTTTGTTTTCGCGGTAACAGCTGTTGAATCCTCCGAAGCAAGAGGTTCATTTGGCACAGATGGGAAGGCAGGCAGTATTTCTTGTTCTGACTCTTCTTGGAGGATCCTTTGAAGTTCCTCTTCAAGGTCGTCTTCGTCAGCCTTGCTGAACGTGGTGGCTCCAGTCGCGACACTTTCCTGAATTTCCTGCTGCTCCGCAGCGGCATCAGCCATTTCGTCCACGATGTCGTGCACCTAAATTGGCAATATAGCAAAAAGTGCTAAACATTACTAAAACTTGCGACTCATACTAAACTGCAATATCACTGCTGATGTTTCTTGTTCTCATAGAGAAATTTATATAGAAATTTTATATGAATCTACTAGTGCCCTTATAAAACAAAACTGGGAGATACTACGCTGAGTGGTAAGCAATTGCACGCACTAGAAGCTCAAAATCATTAAATAGTAGACACTAAAAAATAACAGGATAGAACAAGGAACAACTGTAAAAAAAACTTACCTTATCGACATCACTATTTGCGGTCCTCAGAGCAGACGTAGCCATTTTGTAACTATCAAGAATGGCGGGGAAATCTCTCTGATTCTCTAGATCGGTTTCCATCTGATGAAGATTGTCGAGGACCCCATAGAGCTTGTCCAACTGCCGTGTAACTACTTTGGCTCGCCGCAGTTCTCCGATAGCCTTTATTGAGAAACCTTCTTTCTTTAGACGGATCGCGTTGTTTCTAAAGCTTTCTTCTTTTGAAATAAGCTGATCAATTTTCTGCTGAATCTTGGGTACGGTTTCGCGGACTTGCATGAGAGCCTTTTCATGTTCAGTTAACGGTTTAATAAGATCCGATCTATGTGAAAAGTCAACGAAATTATCTTTAATTGATATTTTCCCTAGCTTTTCTAGAACTACATAAAACAAATCCTGACTTCCATCGCATGCTTCGCGACAAGTACTCCACACATCACGGAATGACACTCTGGTTTCACGGTAACCCCTTGCTTTGATCGCCATCTGTACATCTTGTCTAGCTTCTTCGACAGCCTTCACGTTAATGAATACCTCATCCTCAGCTGTGTGTGCTGGTGTAAATAACCAACTTGACATCCAGGACATCCAGCCGGCTGGTTTTCTTGGGACTATAACACCATCTTGTCGTAACGCCTCGATTACCCGCATTAGACAAACTGGTTGGGAATTCTTCCGGGTGAAACTTTCCGTTAACGACTGTACATTAAAGATAGCCTCCCGGCGTTGCCCAGTAAAACTAGTGACTAGTTTTTTCCAAAATAACATCTTCTCGTCATAACCCAACGGGTTCGCTTCCCTCGGTCGAAAATCCCGAAACAGAAAGGCCATCCGTTCGTCATCGTCCCAGTCGGTCGGATAATCGAACATGTTGTCTTGAGCTAAAATCTCCGTGGAGAAAACCCAACAAAAATAACTGAACTTAACTCGACTTCAAATGATTGCCTCGTTCCCTGACCACTTTTTTCTCCGCGGCAATGGCTCAAATAGGAAGAAGTTCCAATATCTCAGATAGCGTTGTTGATATTTTGAATTTATGCCACTGCTACAACAGAACATCGAATCAACCAGATCGACTGTGCTGTCTTTTTTCCGTCTGCTACACGAAAGCTTACACCTCGACACGGAGATAAAATTAAGTGCGAGTCGAGGTTGCGCATATATATTGTTCATCTAATAAGCAGCGTCTTTGCGACGAATGCCAAAATTTTATCTAAATATTCTCGTGGCCGTTATCAATACCAATTGGTCAAATAAAATTATATTTGATAACTACAAGTATAACCTTGAACAATTTTACGATAAGGAAATGATAGTACTCAACCCAGTTTTCGTCTGCAAACGTGGTAACGCCGCTTTTAAATGCGAAACAAATTCACAGTGCATTATCTTTTAGTTCCGATTTTTTTTAACAGAGTTTTTCACAAATAGTTATCAGGTATTATTAAACGCAACAGAAACGAAATGACTACTGTTAAACCACGGAATTGTTCAAAGCCAATTATTTAATGTGATATGTATATCTGTGCGCCCAAACTTTGCGTGTTTTATTTGATCTTTTAAAAAAGTAACAAATCTTGTTTTAATATACATCGTATAGTAAGCGCATCTAGCATTCCAGGAATATATGACCTACTGTTGCATCTTCCCATATACACTAACGATATAACTATATATATATATATATATATATATATATTTATCGATTACGATATTTTATAATGTATGTGATTAATCACAGTAGTTTTACCTACAGAATCAGCAAGTATTGCTTGACCGTAGAAATATTTTCATGATTTTATGAACTGTGCTCACAGTTACCATCAGAGAGTTTTTGAGGTGTTGTTTTTGTTTATTGGGTATGAAACTAATTAAGGATGACTCACGAAAACGTGGTCGGGAATTATTTTTCAGCATACACGCATTGGAGCATACTAGGATAATTGTAGTTAACATAGTTCACTTCACTTTTCTCTGTTTTATCATATATAAGATACCATCTAAATTAGCGGCATAGATTTCTCTAGCCAAAGCAGTTAAACTGAGACTCGTCTCGTCGAGACGGTTTGTATAAACGCAAAAACCAGCAATGTCGTTAGAAAAAAATTCTTGTTTCGTAGGCATGAAGTAAACGCGGATATATTCTTTTACACGCAAATATAATATGTGAAGTGAAATTTGCAGTTCAAGCGTAATAATTTACTAAATTTAGAAACTAGAGATAGAATAAACAAAAACGTATAACCGTAAAAAGCAGTGTCGTATACAGAGCGACTGAAGTTTTCAGTTTTGCGGCTAGAAATGATGCTGAAAGCTTCAATACTGACAGAGAAGAGCAAATATATCATATATACATGCCATACAGATAAAACAAGGCTGAGTGTATTCTTTGATAGATGATAATAGTATGTTTCAAGGCTAAACAAAATCCACTTCCGTATCCCAATTTTGTGGTCAAACTTTTAATTATTTTTATACCACATCATCGTTACTTCAGAATCATAAATCGTTTATGCGTCTATATGATAAAAACCAAAGTAAAACTAATAAATATAAAATCACAATAGAAAAAGATAAAGAGAAAAGTAAAAAGAGTATTTTTTAATGGAAGCCTACCTTGACTTGATAAAGATCTCAAAACTTCCTCAAGACTTTCCTTACACAAGGTCAAACTTCGGTACTATATCGGGGGTCTAAAAAATTGTTCTGATAGCCATACCAACAAATAGTCGAGAAAATTGCCTATCTTTCTCAAAAACGGGATGACCAACTTTGGCCGTCTAACATAAATATGGTAGACAGATGGTACTACATGGCATCACTACAAGATTTAAGCTTCATTTTGTCATAGAATCCTTCCCCGTGTCTATTCCTACTTTCTTTGCATTCATAGGTTTTCCAATAAGCAATTGTGAGTTCCTCGACTCTGGATTTTACGTGGCCTTTAATTACGCCGTATCATACTATGGAACGCCTGTATATGTACTACTGATTCCAAGTATTTTCTTCATTCTCAGTTAAAAAAAATTATACCATAACGCGAAACTGAACAATAGGCACATACGCTATCTTTGCGAATATTAATAATAATTCTCCATCCGTTATATTCAAATGTTGTTGAATACTATTAAGAGTAAAGGTAAATAGAGAAAAGAACGAGTAAAACAAAAATAACGAATCAGTTGATACAGCGGCCAGTTTATTTTGATTTTACCATTTCTATAAGCTATGGAGCAATCGTCGTGAAAGTTGTTTTTAATCACTCTTGGAGACCTCGAAAGGCAGAAAACGATCGAATGACGCATACACAAAGTGAAATCACAATAAACAACGTATTTGTGAATTTCAAAAATATTTGCCACGGGATGTTTTCATGATATGATACATGTACGAAGCCGTTGTTCTTCAAAAAAATTAAAAAAAAAATAGATGGTTAAAAAATAACTCCCAGTAGTAGGTGTCAAGCACATGATCTGAACCTACTCGTTCAATTTATGGTTGAAGATGCGCTTTCTTGGCCTCCCTACAATAGTTGCTCGGTTGGTTAGATTAGACCGCCTGTCACGATCCTAGTTGACGCATGTCCCATTTCACTTAACCGTTTTTTTTTTTTCATAAAGGCAAGGTAAAAACTTACTTGTTTGGAAGTTCTAATATCACACGCGTGACGTAAATAAGCACATAAGCCGGAATGAGATGAATGCAGAAATTTGAAAAATGTCTGAGAATTCGATACGCCGATCAGATAACATATTTTAACGAAGAAAACGGCTACTTCTAAATTATCTATAAGAGTATTCCATATGTAACCGGAATGTAAATTTTGGTAATGAAAATATCAGCTGTTAGTAAAAAAGTGATTAGCGACAGCCAACCTGCGATAATTCCTTCAGGTGGATTGCGGGTCAGTTGCTTGTATTCGGCCATAAGTCGACGTAGAGCTGATCGTGCCATGATACGATACAAGTTTGCCGAACGGACACAGCACAGGATGCTACAAAACCAACAACTACCGACACTACGAATACTATTTACACCGTATATTACAATTTCTGATCTTGAAATTCACCAGACACTTCTCCCTGTTGAAGTTGCAGGGCTCACGCTGCCAGCGGGTTGATAAAACTCCGTTCTTGATATTCGATCGTTGTTCCTAGTTGACAGCACAATAGGACCATTTAGCATAGCTATGGATGCAAAAATCAAGGCTGTTTCTTTCATGTGTCCTGGTCGGGATACCCGGGCCGATTCAGTGTGTCTGGTATTCATCATCGACTATCGATACGGTCCTCTTCTGTGCCGTGTGTGGTGCGCGTGCCATCAAATTGGTGAGAAGGTGGTTCCTTCGTGGCGGTACCGTTGTTGGACCATTGAGCAGAATTAGAATCTTTGTCGACTCAAACCCCTTTCAAGTTAGCCAACTTATTAGCGGTTCGCAGTGCTGTGTTGGTGTTGAAGGTAGTGCGTTTTTGTCTAAACGTCGTCCGCAATCTTGGCCTTGTTTTGCGTGCATCTTAGTGAAACAGAGCGTTCGTAGTGGTCTTTGCGTTACCATGGGGACACTGGTGGTCTCGAAGATAATTGGCAAAAAAATTGCTAAGCTCCGTTTCATGCCTGTGAAGGAGCCCATCGCACAGCGAGAGCACATACTCGCCGTTGCCTCTTGGGATGATGATGTGAGTTTATTGCAATGATCGCGGATGCGAAAAAATATTATATGGGTTACTCAAGCTCATAAGGGAACATTTATCCGCTAACAAAAAGCGCAATGCTTTTGTTCCATAAAGCCAAGACAAGTATTTAATTATAACTAAAATGAGAAACGCTCCGCAAAAAAATATTAAATTACAAAAACAATTATATGGACACCTTGTTTGTGCAGTAGCTCTGAAAAATGATTTCGGATATCAAAATATTATCCTCCATATTCCCCACCAAAGACATCCCGTAGATATTAAGAGGAATAGTTAAGTGGAGTTGCAAACTAAAATGTTAGTCCAAGTTTGGCCACTTTGATAAATCGATTTATTCTATTTACATAATTGCAACCTTATTTTGATCGTGTATTAAGGTTTGGCGTACTTTATTTCTTATAATCAAATAGTAGTGGGAATTTTTTTTGTTTATGATGACTTGAGCTTTCACCATTTCAGCTTATTGTCTTATCGGTAATAAAATTTGGGGTTCAATTTTGGAGGGCACCCGACAGTTAAAGTTGAACTCCGGAATGAGATGAATACTTACCATACACTTGTAACAGTCCTATTGTTTGATCAGTACGGTTGTTCGGTTCATAGTTCCAAGATAAAAGGATATAACAGCTGCTTGCATTGAAATGTATTACTGATGATTTTTAGATCGTCATTCAGACATACCCGATCTGTCAGATGTAGCCTTTATAAGAAGTACGCTGACTTTACATACAGAACACATACAACTAACAAATCATTAACTGCATCATTACTATCAACCTTCAAAGATTGCTTATGTTGTAGCACTCCTGTATCCCATAGTATTGCAGATCACTAAAAAGAAAATCTGCTGGTTTTTTTTGTCTTTATAGGTATTCACGAAGCATAGAGAGAAAATGATTCTGTTACTAGATTGCAATATGAAACTTAACAATATGAAACGAAAAAAATATTTTTTTCGATATGATTCGATATTGAATTTATACCCCTTACTAATATATGTCACAGTTCAAAATTACGGTAGCTATTTCTATGAACTAATATACCAAATATAAATTAAGCTAACTTTTGAGAAAGCTTCACGTTAGATAAGTAAGGTAACAGCTTTGGGCAAGATACTTATGCAATTATTGAATAAAGAAGTTTTTTGAATAAAGAATTTTTGAAGCGAGTCTCTGGAGCGTATGTAATTTATGTCGCAAGTGGTCAATTTATACGAAAATTATGACGTTTTTCGAAAGATGTTGATTCTATGACGTGGGTTATTCGATTTTAAATGACTTATGTGGAAACATGTCAATGATTTATCGATAATAAGCGTGAATCAAATAACGTGTTTGCCTACTAAATTTAGGGACGTGTGAAGGTCTAAGTTCGAATCCGAGCGTAGACGCATTTCGTTTCGTGATGAAAGTCAGTCGTCTTAAGCAGTAACTAAGGGCTTAGTGCTGAACGTACAACGCAAAAAATAAGTGTCAGTTAATCCTCATATATAATTTAGAAAGAAATGTGTCTTCCAGGCTCTTAAATAATAAACGTAAGTATTTTTATACGTCTCCTTTTGTATTTACCCACCCTATACATGCACGCTTGAATGCAGGTCTAAAATATTTCGGTCGGCCTTCTATCGTAAATACTAGTAATGTAAAAGCTAAAATTTATCAGTTTAATATCCGTGTTTGGAAGATCATTTCAGAGCGAACCGTATTTCTTTGAAAGCTTTGTCAAAGGAGTGTCACCAATTCGGCCCTGTCCCAACTGCGCGTGCCTCAATCATCTAAATCTTAGTCGTTCCCTTAAAAATAATAGAGGTGTGCCGTTGTCTTTTGCTGTCTCTAAATTGGAATTCAATTACAAAAATAAACCTCAACTCTACTCTTATTTCTTCTTATATTTTCTCAGTTGTCTCTAATCTTACTTGTTTTAGGTGTTTCTTGAGTTTTGAGAAGTGGAAAAATAACATGGGGCTAGATCTGATGAATACGTGGACTGAGACAACACAAGCATGGAGTTTTTTTTGTACAGAACGGAATATAACTAAAACAGCTGAACCGGTGCTTATGATCATTGTAAAGAACCCATTACTTGCACTCCCAGAGCTCAGGCCTATTTTGGCAGGTAGTCACGCAATTTTTTTCAATATTCTTAAAAATACTCGTTAGCGACAGTGGAACCATGCGACATTTGTAAGGTACAACTGGCAACAAAAAGCTTGGTTTCTGAGTTGAATCTTGCAATTTTTTTCTGTCTGAGTTCCTTTTAGAAGCGATATTCAAAAGACAGTTTTTGTCGCTTTTGTTTCACGTAATGGTCATACGTTCACATCGAATTACCTACAACGACTCGTTGAGTGCGCTCAGGTTTATCTAAGACAGTTGTTAGTGTCTGGACCAGGTTTTTGTTGTGAGCCTTCTCGCCGTCAAAAGATCTTCTAAAACAACCAAATATGGTTCGAATAGGATATCTAGCTCTTCTGTCAGCTTTTTTTAGTGTGATTCGGCCCTCCTCTAGTACGGGTTGCTTTGATTTTTATCATTTTTCATCCGTAGTCGCTATGAGACGTCATCAAAGCTCTTTCGTCAGTTGCGAAACAGTTGTTACCACTTGTTGGTTACTAAAGTGTTGGCTGACACCCCTAAAAGCCTTCTGCAAAGTCTGCACTATTTAGAAGCACTTGGTTGCATTCTTAACGTAGAACACAATGGTGCTTCATGTTTTGCGTTAAAAACCTTCGTCGATTTTTGCACACTTATTAAAAATGTTCGCTGAAACAAGCTCACATAATTATTCTTTTATCTTAAAATACGTTCTAAATAATTCTTATACGCTTTGAATCACGAATAACGGATATCTGAATCCATAACATAGTGTATCACCTCTTTTATCATATTTTTAATATATTTCAAAAGCATATCACTGCTGGAAAAAGTTAAGCGATGAAATTCACTTTTTTTAGTGTAAATGTGCGCATTTAAGGACAACTGCGTGGGAACAATTTTAGCTGTTTAGGTTATTCAGACAGACGAATACCACGGCTCTGAGACTCTGATTTTAGCAATTAATCAGGCATGTTTACTAGTATGCATCTAGTTAGCAAATCTACAGATGCCGAGCTTCTGAAGCTCTCAAGCCTCTCTAAATTCACTGCTATTAATTAAAAAAATTCTGATTTAAAGCGATTTAAATAGCATAGATGTCGTATAATTACTTGCTGAATTGTTATTTATTTAGACCGTTTCTATAAATTAAATAGCGGGGAGTTATTAAAGAGCTAGCGAGTAGAACTAGAGATGTTCAGTTAACTACTGTACTTAGCGTCATTAAAAGCATATGAATTGAATAAAATATTGAGGGTAATATTAGGCTACAAAGAGCAGGTGGCATAAATATGTGCGAATCTATGATATAAAGACCAATCAACGAAGTGCCACTTTTTTATTATCGTGAAGGGAGTTCATTCTTTCCCTGATTGATCCGATGTTGTTCTTCCATATACTTCAGCACTTCATCAAAGCACAGCTTGGCTGAGACCACCCAAACCTCAAAGACATACAAGCGCATGTTTTTCAAATATAGGAGTAAAGTAGAGCATGAAGCTAACTCATATGGTATTGCTCTTTTGCGCTCGATGGCTTACTCATCTTACGTTTATAGGACAGCGTAATTCAACTATGGAGTATATTACGAGGCGATGATCCGGAAGAACAGTGCGAGCCGCAGTTGGTGGCTCAAACATCGCTTAAAGGAGACGTCGCTGCCATGGAGGTTAGCATCTTATTTTTCTTATTAACTATAGTCTTTGTTGCTCGAATGAGTTGAACAGCTTTGTCACAACAAACAAATATGAATTATTATTATATTATTTAAGCAGAGATATTATAGTGTATGTACTATGAGCATAGATTATGCTTTATTCGTACATTAGCACCGGTATAATAATATGGTTCTAGTTCTGCGATGAAATAAGAATATAATCAACAAGGTTTCATGCTGACAAATCTTAGACTCACTTGCTTTGATAATATTAGCTTTCGAGGAGTTATTTCGTAGTGTTTATATTACATTTTTCAACCCACCAGTATAGTTAGACCGTCACTCCATATCAAATGAATCGCAGATACGATGATCATTAAATGCTTTTATTTACCACGATGGCAACGTCGATTTGAACGTATAGTATGAGACAAGCCGTTAATTCTCAATTCAATACACTACCTTTGTTTAAAAATTGTTGATTTATAGATTTTTGGGCTGCAGGCATTGGAGTCAAGATTCCGCTTAATTGGCATGCATTCTGCTTTTGAATACGTGTGCTTCTGTTCTTGATCTTTGTTTATGGTAAAAAAAAAAGTAAACAATTACCGCTTTTAATTAATTTTATAAGCGTCGTTTTTCATGACGATATAATCAAATCTCGTGGACATCACATAAATGTTTAGTCATTTTCACTATCGCGTATAAAGCTCCCTGTCTTTCTATTTCCGACTAACTATAAAATTTGTCTCGAACCTCTATTATTATTACTATTATTGTGTAGTACATGTACTCGTTGAAATTAATATGATTAAGTAATTATGTAGAGTACTACTAATATTTTCTCTAACCTAAAGAGAAAAACATCGACTTGATGTTAGTGAAAGTTTATTATTTAAATGCATAAATATCAAGTATGTACAGTCATCTGTCCGAAAAAAAACGGGAAGGCAGCTAAGATACCGTTTCACCTTCGAAGTTGTGAAAGGCAATGAAACGTCAATGACAAGTTTTGCTACGCTTTAGCGCCTGTAACGTCGTTTCTGGTGTACCAGGTACATTATCGTCCTACGAAAATCTTGCACCTTATCGTTGTATAGCATCGTATATATATGTGTGGCATAGTAAATCCCTACTTGCGTATTAACAATCGTACGTTTGCGATCAATGCACACTTACTGCGAGGGACGCCAGATCACCAGTGAATTAGTTAATAAAATAGTTATGCTGTATTCAGAGCTCCGAGTAGCTCATTGGTTACCTCTTAAGATACTGTGGCATCCCAACAGGGAGCAGACTAAAGAGCTGTGTTGACGATTTCGCTAAGGTCATAACGTTATGGTCCTGACTAGTTTGTTTACGCGGTTTTCCCAGCGCACCTTGTGGACAAATTAGACCAAAGATCATCGCTGTTTGAGCTACAAGGCCTACAACGCCTTCATCAAGGTGTGGTCGAAACATATGTAAGTCGACAGGATCGATAAGGGAGGTTAGCTGGTAGACTAAGTTCTCGTTAGCGCGTGTAGCTAGCAGCTTCTCGAGGTACTCGATGTCAAAGAGAAGCTGTAATGCCAGTTCTTGCTGAGCAGAGGCGGGAAGGCCAGCACGCTGGTCCAGTACTTTTTGGTAGACCTGTTCTACAGCTTCGTGAAGCAGCTGGTTTGCCTGAAGAATAACCTTCTTAGAAATTGCACAATCCATTATTTCACGGATGCGGACACAAATGATAAACAGCAACTGATTAAGAGGCAATACGGCATGCTGGGGCAAATAGATCGAGGTATATACCGGGACACCCTCTTCGCCTTCATCGCTAAGATCCACTTTGACTTTCACTGAAGCTAGCTTGAGTAGTATATGCGCGACAGGGATGTTAAAAGATTTCTTAAAAGGCTCCAGATTTTCCTCAATAAGTATTTTAAGGGCCGTTAAGGTAGCTAGATTTCTACTTTCTAACAACGATTCCTTGCGATGTAACCAGTCATTGTTGCCAAAGACCTGCTGTAGATGCACACAGTTGGTTAGAGCGAAAGCTAAATGAGACAGAAGGGAAAGGAAATAGCAGCATCGAACCCCGCTCTCGACACATTGAGCGATGAAAGCGCAGACCCGCGTGAGCATTTGCTCGGCAGAGGCGCTCGTCAGTTTGGCGAGGGAACGGTGCTCGGCCGAAGCCATTTCCCGGAACGGAACAAACTCGGATAATTGGTCCATGGCTGACTTAACGGAAGAATCAAAAGCCTTACAAAGAGAAGGTACGTTGGAAAATTTTACACGGGCTGCTTCCTGAAAACTTGAATGGATGGATGTGAGAAGCTGTTCGGTGGCTGTATGAAGAATGTCCTCGAAGATACCCGCGATGCGTACAACGATAGCTTCCTGAAAGAATGTTTCATAGATGTCTGGTGTCTTCTTACCAAGAAATTCCGCACACATCTGGGTTTTGTCGATTGACGTTCGCAGGTGGTCGTATGCTTTGGCAATACTTCGGCATTCGTTATGACATTGCAGTTCCAACGTGAGCTTTTGCCGACAGCTCAGCCGCATCTGCTCAAGGAAAGCCTCTGCTTGGACCACTGTTGGCCCAACTAAAAGACGTGTATCACTTAAGGCCTCTGGCAATACACAGCGAAATTGGGCCAGATGCCTCGGTAGAAACTGGGTAGCCAGAGAAAGTGGGTCTTCAACAAGCGATACGATTCCATGTGAGTTGATACGATGGTTCTGAAAGTATCTCACGAGATCAGGTGGGTCTCCGGCTAGAGAGTGGGCTAAATTAAGTGTAAAAATAAGATAGCGCGCCACATTTCGAAACTTGTCTTTCGTTTGTGCTGTTTGTTCATCTAGGGCTTGTTGGAGGTAATTAGTACGTTGCTGGAAGAACATTTCGACGAGTTTCTCAGGCCTATGGCCTTCAAGAATGGCGAGAGCGCACAAAGCTTCACTAAGTGAGTCCGAGTTGCAGTCGGGATCAGCCATTGCAGTTAAACAGCCATTGCTCAACATACGGGTCGATGTCCGGAGCGATTTCTGACAAGTTGCTAACAGTTGCTCACGAAGTTGATGCCCACGTACAGCCAGCTGTGCTAACGCTATGAGGGCTGCGGAAGAAATCATTTCACGAGCTTCGATTAACGGTCCTAGTCGTGCGCCTATGTCTAAAACTAATTTGGTCTGCACGAAATCGGCGAAAACTTGAGGGTCTCTAGTCGACACATTTAATGACCTGGGTTTAAATTGTTCACAACGAAAGGGTAACTGACGTAGCTTAGAGGGCAATTCATCGGCTAGTTGTTTCATATTTTGTATAGTATCTGCAGCATCAATTAGCTCACGATAGCGTTCACCCACCATCTCGCGGAGATCCTGATTTTTTTTGCTAATATCTTGAAGTATCTTTTGACGAATTTCCACTATCTCAGCGATTGAATGTTGCTGAAATAGTACATCAGCACCTGTCGGCGTATTTTCCTCCTCGTTAGGTACCATGGCCTAACAGATTTGTAGGACGATAATATAAAACACAAGTCGTTTACATTGATGACTTTAGGACACAAAAAATGAAACACTTGTTCTCCGAGATCTGCCAACACCGGATGATTTCTCTTTTTCGAACGATCTGCTTCTACAAGCAGGCTTCGTGGTGTTGTCAACGGTTCCGTCGTTTAAGGCTATGGGAGGGGCGGAATCATACGAAAGACGTACGCGGGCTGTCGTTCTTTCGCTATAACATTTCATTGACCGATACGCGAAAATCCAATAAGTTTTTAAGCGATAAAAACATTACTATTTAAAGCTATATATATTTAGTCCATATATACATTCGGTTATATGTATAGTCTTAATTTTTTTTGAAAAGGTGTTCTACTTTTTTAAAAATATTTCCACTATATTCTATATTAAGAAAAAATAAAGATTAAGCCTGTCTTTAAAAAAATCACCAATTTTTATCGGCAACAATAATTTTATTCAAGCTAAATAAAATGATCTTTTTTATAGCATCGTATGTATATATATACTGATTTTGTTCTCGAAATATTTTAAACGAAGATTAAGACACAATAAACTTTTGATTATCGAAAATTTGCTAAAAAAAACTGCTCAGAACTAGCTTACTATTACGAAATATCTTTTTGTAACACAAGAGTTATAGATATCGCAGTAAGTTCTTGTCCTTTTCACCGTGGCAGAACTCTTTACCGCCCGAGTACTTCACCCGCTTGCTGTTTCTATAACTGTTGTTGTTAATCTTGTATTGATATTTAAATATAGAACACTAAATGCACATAGAGGCCTCTATTAATCTACGTAGACGTCAGAAACGACACCGGACAAAATGCGGGAAGCCAGACCTTGGTATTGCATCTAATAGCATACTTCATAAACTCTTTATCGTAAACGCCTGTGCATAAATACAAAAAGTGGAAAGATCATACACAATAATAAGGAAGGGCTGATACTATCAGTAACCTAAAGTGATTAGGGTCATAACAAAGGAAACGGCGTTGAAACTGTGTCGAAAACTCAATAACAGCGTAATAGCCAGATAACTTGGAGAAAACACAGTCGGTTGGTCTTTTCGACGTCGTATGAAAGCTAAGTGGCATCTTTTTGTGGCCTGGCAAACTCGTTGCCATTTCAAACCATGTTTTTTTGAAAATTGGACTTACGTTTCAATAAGATTCATAGAAAGTGAGAAACCTGTTTTTGTTTCTTCAGCAAGCATTTTCTAAATATTTGACCTGTTATACCGTAAAGAGTTTGCTACATGAGGTGTTACAGTTGTCTCATTAACTCTTATCGAAGATCGAATACTCGAAAAAGCATTCGAAATTAGCTCAAAGCGACTTTTAGTACCATTGGCGCATACCAAGGAAATAAACGTCACATATATTTAACAAATGCATGCTACTGTCAGTGAGACAGACATCAGTAGCGAAGATAGACATTTAGAGTAAGGGTGTGCATATACAGACAAAAAAGAATAACATATTACTGTGTCAAGAACCTATAATAATAATAACTTTCTGGCGTGGAATAATTATCATTATTAGGCTTTTTGAAATGTTGAAATTTGGCTGTCAATTCTTGACGGATGTGTTTTTTCGAACATATGTGTAGCTCAGTTTCTGAAATATAATTGTGTGCTATTTATTTTGAACCTCAGTTCATCGACCCAAACCAGTTGATTGCGGCAACCTCATCGAGCGAACTCATCCTTTTCCAATGCACCTCATCGGTACGTAGTTACTGGATTGCTATAGACGGCCATGAAATTAACCGTCGTGTGATTTAATTGCTACTTGTACATTTCCTTCCAAAATCAACAATTTCATTACCGTTTTTAACTACCTGTCTTTGGACTTTTCGGAAATCTGTATTGCTAAATAAAACCCTTGTTCATAAAATTGGATGCTGTCTTCCAAATCAAGGCCATGGTCTTTAACAACAATTGTTTCATTTAATTTGTCCTGGACAGAAAATAGCATAACCATTACGTTCCACTGACAAAGTACGTCAAATAATGACATATAATGAATTGCTTATTAAGGTTTTCTTTAATTTTTCTCTTTATTCAGTCAATTACAGAAACACGCAGATGGCCACCAACGGGAGATTGTCCTATGCCCTACTCCGATTTGGCTGTTCGGCAAAGTCTCGAAGGTGCTGAAGTTGTTACTGTAGGCGAGGATGGACTACTTAAGAGGTTCTTGCTCAAGGTAATATTAATTACGAGGGATTGCTTTCAAGTGAAGTAGAACGTAACTTGTTTTGTTACTGTCTAAAAATAATTGTAGCGGACACTTATATGAATGTCTGAGTGAAGAATCACAACAGCTGATTCTTTTTCTGTGTTCCATTTAATAGCCTTAGGTTACTTCTGTCAGCCAATATAGCACGGATCACACAAGGCGTCTTACGCGTTTTCATCTTAAACGATATGTTAAATGGAATTCGTGCCAAAGCTGGTAGTTCATATAGGTAATTAACCAATAGTTTACCTTAACTTTCAATCCTGAATATCCAGGAACCTAAGGACCACCCGACGCAGACGATAGAAACCGGTTGCGACTCTCTAACTTGTGTGTCCTATTTAGGACAAAAAGAAGTGGCCGTAGGTAACCTTGCAGGAAAGCTGAAGATTTTTGACCTCAGTAAAGGACAAGAGGTCCGATCATGTATGCTGTAAGTGTCTGGTGTTAATTCATAATCATAGCGAATCGAGGTAACATGCTTGGGTCTCGTTTAGACATACGACCATTTTGAACAAGCCGCAAAGCAGAGTAGACTGATTAAAGTAAAGGTGTTGATCGAAATAAAAATAAATTGAACTACACATCAAGTCATTTCTTTTACTAATTTGTATGCTATTGTGCCCATATCTATCCGGATCCTTTGTTTAATTCTGATCAAAGTCGACAAGATGATCTCGTCGGGATCACATGCGTGCTTCAGCATCCGTCCCAACCACAGCTTCTATTTTGCGGCACAGAGGCGGGCTCGATTTGTGTCTGGGACTTACGGATTGCGGATCAACCTCATCCGTCTGCATTTTATAACTGTCATTCTGTACTTATACCCGAATTACGTTTCCACGCACTCTCAACTGCTCACCTGATAAGCGTATGTTATGATGGCAGTGCGCTTTGGTGGAATGCCAGCCGATTAATGAGTCCTTTTGAGTCAGTGGGTCAACTACCAGCTTTGGGTTCGAATCGACCAGCGGGGGACATTAAGCGAACTCAGAACGGTGAGTAAATCGACGAGGAGAAGTAGCCATTTTCAGTGTACCTAATACAAACGTGTAGTTAATTTGGCTTGTTTTCGTCACTGTAGACTACATCCCAGTCAAAGAGGGCTTATAGGAAAAAGATCATGCACGTAACAAGTGATAACCCACCTAATTTATAGCAATAGATAGCGAGTTTCACTGCATATAATAAAAAGATTTTTTGCCGTATAGGCGAAACATCGTAGCACGGGTGCCATTCTTGTGCTTTTTTTTGCAAGAACCACTTCTCTGAACAAATTGGGAATTTGGAATCTGTGAATAACGTTAAGCGTGCATTTCAGATACAACCGGCTGGCTCATGCCGGATGTAATGAAGGACCGAATGGACATTGAGAGGCTTGTGGCACCATCGTTGTTCTGCGTGAACTCGGTGGACACTGCTGGAGATTTGGTCGCAGTCGGAGGAGACTCAGAAATGTTGCAAATATTCTCCATACCTGTGTAGCCCTGATAGTAAACTTAACTTGTACGGGGCAAAACTATGTCCATTGGAAACACCGCTCACTCCTAATGCGACAATAGTATATATATACTATATGAACTGCGCATGTGCCCAAGAAAAATTTATATAGGATTAGGTGGGTCCAGTAGCGGATCTCAGTACCATCTTCAAACTCGACGAGACAAAAGTGTGAACAGTTTTTGCTTCTGATAGAAGCGAGTAGCGGAGTGTGTTGTATGCGTGTTGTATTTTTGCGGATCTGACGATGGCGGTCCCTCACTCATCATAAAGATGACTGAAAGGGATCACTATGATAAGTTGACCAGATTGGGTATTCGAAGCAATCCGTCATTCACGCTTAACCCTCGCTTTTATCTCTTTGCGACTTTTTTAGAGCTAAACATGTGTACGATTTACAATGTACTTTGCGTGAAAAGAAAAACATGTAGAAAAAAGTGGACAAATGGGGGCGACAAATACCAGGAATGTTTTTTAATTGAGATGGAACTAAAAAATAACTAGTGAAATATGACATTTACTAGTGCGTCTAAGAGTAATGAATATACCTAAGCGCTGACACACGAGCAGAATGATGATTTCAACTTGTGGCAGTTGGTCCAGAATCAGGATGATCGATTAATGGTGGTCTTGGTAATGATCAGTTTTTCGATGACGTAATAGAAGACTAAACGATGATGCAAGGCAACTCTGCCGGCTCGTACTCAAAGGAAAGGAAGATGTAACTACTGGATCGTGCGAAAAATTAAGAAACATGTTTATCTCAATTTGCTGAACACTGAGTTGTGCCGACGCTAACGATACCCACGACGACAAAGGTTATTGGTAATGACAAATGCTATATTCTATTATTATTATTATTAATTACAAGCGTGCTGATGGAAAATAATATTGATGGTAAAAGATGATGGTATAACGATACACATTCGGCGGTACAACTGCTGACAATTATATATACAAAAGTATGATGATAAATGATGCGAATGATGCTACTCTGCGACATGAGAAGGGTAATTAAATAATGGTATAGATTGGTCAAAACTAGGTAAACGTCCTGCGGTGAACATATGGATGCGTGTAGTGGTTGACATGAGACATGGTCACAATTGGAAAAATATGATGTGCTACATGGATGTATTCATACGGAATCTTTTGTGTATTCATTTGTACCTTATAAAGAAGTAGCTTTATTTCAGGTTAATTAGTTAACTCTGTTTATGATGAATGCATTAGTCACATCAAAGCAACAGGAAATAAGTCATTTACAATTATACCTCTCTTTCATATTACATACCATAACCATCTTTGTTATTATGCATCAAAGAAAAGCCTTCCAAAAAGCTCTGAACATAAATAATTATTCTTTATTACAGTAATAGAAGAGCTACTAGAATTGCCTAATTACTAAGGACTTTATTTTAGTAGGACGTTCTGCTGTTCTTTGTGGTATTGCTCGCGGATATCCATGAACATACTGCGACAGTCTATTTTAGCACGAAGCTTTGAGCATAAAAGAAAAATTCCTGATAATTTCCGATGAAGCGAGTAGATTTCTTCGGGTGGTGGTGTGAGACGATGCTTAAGCATTATAGGAATAAGCTGGCCTACTTTTTCCTCCGTACGCCCCTCACCAAAGTCAAATTCATCGACCGTAAATGCCTCTCCCAGAATTAGGACAGCATCACAATGTGCACGACGCATTATTTCGCTTTCCTCTCCAGTTAGGAAACCAATCTGTTCAGATAGATTAAGTATTTTTACTTCGTCGCGTTCTGCTGCTGCTTCGATCACCTTAAGATAAGTATCGATGAAGCTCTTTTTGTACGAACGGGTGGCGCCGAAGTCAAGAAGGACTACGCGTTGAGTACTTGGTTGATAAAGGAAATTTGACCAATTGGGGTCTGTCTGCATGTAACGATAGATAAAGATTTCATTTAGCGTCAGTCGCAATAGGTTTTCAGAGATATAGTTTCGAAGTGGTTGACTAGCATTTGCGAGGCGGTCGACCGGCAGGGCTCCTTTGACGAGTTCGGTGACAAGTACGCTGTTCGTTGTAAGTTCGTCAATGACTTTTGGAACCTGGAAAACCTCATCATGCCTAAGAAGTTCTTGAAATTTGTTACCACTTGCTGCCTCTCGATTGTAGTCAACCTCCCAGACAAGCTCTCGTCGCGCAACCTCAACGAGATTGTTAATAAACATTCCTCTGGGTAACATATCCCACACCTTTAGCAACATCATCAGATTGTCTATGTCGGCGTTGATACCCTTGGCAACGCCCGGATACTGAACCTTGATTGCTACCTCCCTTCCTCTAAAAACTCCACGATGTACCTGGCCAATGCTAGCAGCTGCAAAAGGCATATCTTCAAATGAGTCCATTCGACTTCTCCACTTGTTACCCCACTCACGCGACATTACTTGATTAAGCTGCCAGCTCGGCATATAGTGTGCCGAATCTCTTACTCGGACAAACAGTTGCTGAATTTCAGGAGGAACAACTTTAAGGTTTTGCAAACTAAGAATTTGACCAATTTTTAGGGCAGCACCACGCACCTGACACAGTGTTTCGACAATACGATTAGCATTCGCTTCGCTCAACAAAAGCGGCCGTTCCTCATTTGAAGCAAGCCTGCGAACGGCTTCAGTCGCTGCCCCTACTCCAAGACCGGCCAAAAGCCCTCCATAAGTTAAAGCTCGACCAATACGAGATGCAGGCACCTTTTTGGCTTTTGATGACGTGCCCAGCATAGGATCCATTGTCGTAATTGTTTCAAAAATTCTCTCCCCTTTAGGTTGTGGCACTTTGATAAGGTTCTCCGTCGGTCGGATAGGCTCATGAAGAGGAGCCGTGCCAATAATCTGTCGTAAATTATACTCCATGGCCTTCATGACAAACTGACGTAACCCTTCGAAAACCACACAAAGATTCTCCACACCAAAGTCACTGTCGTTCTTTGACTTCGCCGCAATGCGCTTCCGTGTGCCAGTAGGTGATAGCGGTATTCCGTAACGACTAAGAGCCTGCCCGATTTGAGATAAGCCCTGTGACATCATAACAATCCCCTGTGCGAACCGAGTATCTGGGGGCATATCATATTTGGTGCCCGACAGGGGCGAACGAATAGAACCACCACTTTCAATCGTGCGCCTAGGATGCCGCACGTATCTGGAAGTTTGCCGAACATGAAACATTTTCGCGACTTAACCTTTTGGTGAGGATAAACACGGCAAACTGGCCCAAAAGTACGCTCAATAGAACTTATTGGGGATCATTTAGCTGCAAACTCGCACTTTAAATAAATATACCGTGTAGCCATCCATTGCTATCTTTTGAATTTCATATATTTTTATTCTATTGTGAAACCCGCTGGTTCGATTGATAGGATGTGAACGGATTTGGAGCAGTGCGACATTTCGGACATTTAGAGAGGTTACATGTACTTCGTATGAAGGCTTCGCTCGTTGAACGCATTTTTACAATATGCTTTTTATAGGACCGCTTAACCACTTGATACGCATATTTGGGCTTGCGTTTCTAATGCATCTGGGAATATAAGTCCTTTGAAATCTTTTAAATTATTAATACAAGCGTGGCTCATCCAGCTGCCAGGTGCGTTCATCTAGATTACCTGTCAACCGAATCACGAGATCTATTTGCTATTAAATCTTGTGCCTGGTAGGAATCAGTCTTGTGCGAGTGTTTAGCTTTCATGCAATTTGGCACTGATACACAAGAGAACATTTTCACCATGGCTGTTCGCGGGAAATTAATTTCCATTATCGGTGATGAAGAAACGTGCGTAGGCTTCCTTATGGGAGGAATTGGTAAGTGGGCTTGAATCAAACTAAAAAATGACTAGTTAATAAATCTAATATAATTAGAAAGGACCTGATCGAGGAAGGTGTAATTTCGCGCTAGTCTAGAAATTACAATACTATATTTTTATTTTTGGTAAGCCATGTAAACTTTTGTACTTATCTGTAAAACAAAACATCACTGTTGCGTATTCACTCAAATCTTCATGTATATAACGTTTAAACGAAATTATCCACAATCATCTGCTCACCCAGTTGTTATGAGAGCCATTAACATGATACGTTACTAGTATGAAAATAATTGGTTAGTTTGTTTAATCTTTGGCGTAAAATGAGATGAGTATAGTTTCCGAACGACAAAAACTTTCGTGATCTTTTTTTAGGGATTTGACGCAAATACCCTTGATAAAGCCATGCTCTTAGAATATTGTTCTACCTAGATAAAGTGAAGTTGAGCAATGATTTTCAAGCTTCCAGTACGCATTGCACTTGTAGTAAAGACTATAGTTCGTATTTTTCATTGATTCACAGGTGCTATTAGCCTACTTGAAACTGGTATAGTGGTTGCTATTAAAGTGCTGTTTAACCCTGCTGAGTAGAAATAACGATATGCTTTGAAATGCTGACTACAATACGTCGTTCTAGCTGCGCATCTACTTATATCTGGATGTCTTAATATTCAAATGTATATCGTTTAATGACTAATCTATTCTGACATAATTTCCTCTCAGATCCCGTTTTGCTTGTTCTGATGGATGTTCTTTAGATGCGTATACAGATGATAAATACGCGTCACTTTAGCTTACTGTCGCATATCGAATGGGAGAAACGCAACTTTATTATTAATATTAATATGGTACAATTGGCAAAAATCATACCGATACGAACGTGTAAGATGCTAATAATTTTTTTTTTAAAGTATCTTACACGTTCGTACCTTGGTAAACCGTTTTAGTACCCACACGTCTGTAGGGATCTGCAGTATGCTTTGGCTAAGGCTAAGAAAATAAGTTGACAGTTAATTAGCTGTCTGACTACGTTCTGCATTATTCGAAAGAATTAGCAGCACAAGCAAAGTATAGGACTCTGTTATTCCTTTCGAGCTACTTGTTACATAATATGGCTTTGAAGGGCTTAACGCCAATTTCCATGTGTAACATATCACTTGTTGAATAATACAAAAGAAAAATTACCGAGCTGTGAACAAAGGACACGTGACTTTGACGGTGACAGTCCGTTAGTGGGAACCTACCTTCATTATTGCATTTGAAGTTCTTTCATTTCAGTGCTTTTTGTCCGGGCGTCATCTGTAGCTGGATCCTATGGACACTTCATTAGAGGCAATTAGCAGCGAAGAGGTTAAAAATAAATTATCATGGGGCACACAGTAAAAGCATTAAGTTTTTGTATTAACATACATATTGTCATTTACTAAGCATGTGATGGATATGACTATTATTTCAGGTGAGATGAATAAAGAACGGCAGCCTAATTTCAAGGTCGTCGATAAAGACACGCCTGTGTCGGAGATCGAGGAGACTTTCCGAGCGTTCGTCAAGCGACCCGATGTGGCGATTATTTTGATCAATCAAAGTGTCGCTGATATGATTCGGCATGAGATCGATCGGCACACTAGTAGTATTCCTTCTATTCTTGAGATACCTTCGAAGGATTCCCCGTACGACCCTAATAAAGATTCGATCTTAAAACGTGCTAAGGGCATGTTTTCTGGCGGAGGTGATTAACTTGACTTCAAGATGCGTGCCACTTTTCAATACGGTAGTTCCATATGGATTTAATTTACTCGAATATGAATAGCAGGTACAGATTACACGTTACAGGACGAGACGATGACTGAAAAACAATATTGAAGAATGAATATGTACTCATGCTGATGTGTCCTGATGATTAGAAACAGATATGTATATGGTTGACAGGAAAGAGACAATAAAGTAACTCAGATAGGGCCTAGTATTAGGATTGGTATAGTAACACAATTTTAGCTCTCATAAATATTAGGTCGGAAAGCAAAAATCACTGCCTGCTTGTGGCATGTAGCTTGGATTGAAAAAGTACGAGGCGCCATTTAAGTAGCTTGTTAATTAATTCATGTAAATATATAAGCGCCTGGAAGACATTTACATGAGTGAGTTGCAAGTACTTCCATGTGCATACTGATGTCTTCGTCCCTAAAACGGTACATGTTAATAACCACCATTTAAGCAGAATGAAAATGTAACCAGGCATAGGCCTTTAGAAAATCTATGACTACCAAAAGGACTCACCTACTAGAAAAACACTTGTTCTGTGTACACATTACAATTAAGGATTTCGGGACGTGGCGTCAATATGCATTCCAACAAAATAGTGAGCTGAACATAGCAAAAAAAGGCTATTTATGATAGTATAAAAAGTAGTTATTTTTACTTATTTTTGTTGTTTTCCAACTCCGTTGCGTTAAGCAATAAAAAGTTTACGGTAAAAACAGACGTAGCTTGTTCTTTATTTTTCGGTGCACGTTGTATGAAAATTTACATTTTAACATTGACGACGGTTCCACTAGAACCCTGTTACAGGAACTACATCTTGAATTATAGAAATTCAGAATTAATATGAGTAGATTCTGCGCTTGAAATATTTGATGCGTCTATACTGAATCATCCTGCAATTAAAGTTCGATCTTCCTGAAACGAATTTTTAGTGGCTGATCCGGTACGTTGATGAGCCTCGTAAAGCAGTCCATTTTTTTATCGTGTGTGTACTCCATCGAATACTTGGTTATCATCTGAAAATAGAACATACCATATTGGGTTAGAACATACGTACGTTCCTTTTGCTTTCAATGTTCGCTTTTCTTCTCAGTTCTCCATTCTTAATGAACTTCTGTACCATGCGAAAGCGCTCTTCCTTCTCTGCAGGTCAACAGAATTTTATAGTGAGATAAGACTCAAAGATGGAGATTTCAGGTGAAAATAAAGCTGCATTTTCGACATCTTCTCTATTTCGACTTCGTCCAGATTAAGTAGCTGCTGAATCAACACGAGATATTTGTGACAACCAACTCATTGTACGAACGGTATATAATTATTTCTGCAGCAGCTTTCAATATTCACCTTAAATGTGAGAGTATTTACGACAGTTTCGGCAAAGCGTTTCCCAATACACATTCTCGGTCCATATCCGAATGGTAGGTAAGAAAACGGATGGTGTTGCCTTCCTCGATTGATCGGACAAAATTTGTCTTTTTCGGCGTCTCTCATACTTGCTTCCTTGCCACCTCCAGCGCCGGTTCCTTTATAAATATCGTGAAAACGTAGCCAGCGTTCTGGCTGGAATTCATCAGGATTCGGGAACTGATCGGGATCACGAGATGATAACTGACTATGAACGAGCATCATTGTCTAAAGTAACATAGTAACGCAGACACGTGTGACAAATAATTGAAATGAGATTATGATTAGATGAATAAAAATCAAAG